CCATGATACGCACATGGTCAGAGGCCTAGGAACTGATTTCGCGAATGGCCAGGGGCCTGGGAACCGATTTTGCAAATTGTCCCACATCAGAAATTAGTAGGCAGGAGGACTGGCAGTGTGCCTTTTTGTCTAACTGGTATGTTGTGCCTGTTGTCTTTGTGTGAGTTGGGAATAAAGACCACAGTGTGGTGACATGCTGCTGTGCTGGAATCCTGCTCCCACGGAAAAGCAACGATTGTCTGCTCTCGTGTGTGCATGTGTGTGTGTGTGTGTGTGTGTGTGTGTGTGTGTGTGTGTGTGTGTGTGTGTGTGTGTGTGTGTGTGTGTGTGAGAGTGTGCTTGCACGCCTTTTGTGTGTGCACATGTGCATGGTTGCACGTATGTGTATTTGTGTGTGTGTGCGCATGTGTGTGTGTGCGCATGTGTGTGTGCGCGCGTGTGTGTGTGTGTGTAGGTAAGAGGTTTCGACGCTAACAAGTTGTACGCCAGTGAGATTCTCTCCATCCTGCTGCAGAATAGTACCGGTGAGTGTCAGAACTAGTGTGCGGTACTGTCTGTCTGTCTGTCTGTCTGTCTGTCTGTCTGTCTGTCTGTCTGTCTGTCTGTCTGTCTGTCTGTCTGTCTGTCTGCCTGTCTGCCTGTCTGTCTGCCTGCCTGTCTGTCTGCCTGTCTGCCTGTCTGCCTGTCTGTCAGCTTGACTGACTCTCATGCAACATATGAAATTACAAATGTATTCTTATATATCTTGCTCCGTCTGGCATAATCGCGCACTCAGTGTGTGTTAGTGCCTAAGTTAGTGACGTCAGTTGATGCTCTTGGCAACTAATCTCCCCCCCCCCCGTGTGGTCGGTGTTTGTGTGCAGAGAACCGGCGGGTGCTGGGTGACCTGAACGGCGTGGATATCCTCTTGCAGAGCTTGGCGGTATGTTGCTTCTTTGCCCTGTGCATGGTCTTATTATTATTATTATTATTTATTCATATTTTAATAGGGCAGTCCCTACAGACTCGGTCTTGTGATCCACCATTGATCTGTTGCTGTTGCTGCTGAACCGGTATGCTCGCCGTCTGCTGGCTAGTTTGACCTACACGTAACAGGGTTCTAGCCAAAGGGGGCGCAGTGCCCTCCTACTCTGTTTGCGCCCCTGCCCCCCCCCCCCCCCCCCCCCCCCCTACTCATTTCCTGATTTTTGTGTTTTTTCATGCCATTCAATGAAAATGCAGTCGATACGCGACTCAGTGGGGTGAAATCAGGTGTTCGCCCCCCGTTTCACATTGCAAGGCAGTTTTGAAAATGGGTTACGGCAAGAGTACATAACCCCCCAGAGTGTGCAACGCCGATCCAGCTCTGCATAGGGTCTTGGTCGAGCGGAATCGGATCTTCCGATGTCATGCGTACACTCCACACCACCGCAAGCCCGGTCTCGAGGCAGGGCACCGTTGCTTTTGATCCAAGAGTGCCCGCGACTCCCCGGGTTCCCCTCAGATGTGTACGGTATTATGACGCAAAGATCCGATTACGCTCGACCAAGACTCTATGCAGAGCTGGATCAGGCGTTGCACACTCTGGGGGTGGGGCTATGTACTCTTGGTTACGGGGTAACTGTTTTCCCTGCCCTCCCCCCCCCCCCCCCCCCCCCTACTATTTTGACCTGGCTAGAACCCTGCGTAATTGAAGTATATGTAGACATGTGTGGCTGTGTTCGGTACGGTAGTGAGCACACACTTTGTTCCTTGCAATGGAGGTGAATTGGAACGTATGCGGTGAGCTGCCCTTGTGTGGTACAGTGTAGTACAGTGTACATAGTCATTAGTGATCCTTCCACTGGCACAAGGAAATGAACGGTGCTTCAGTGGTTGTGTTTTGGTGTCTCAGCGTGCGTGTATCGCCGTCGTCTGATGGCATATTTCTCATGGTTTCACACACGCTTTCTCTCTGCTTGATGCCTGGTCCTCGCCGACTTTGCACAGGTGTACAAACGCCGTGACCCGGCTTCGAATGAGGAAACAGAGCTGATGGAGAACTTGTTTGACTGTCTGTGCCTGGCATTGATGCATCCGGCCAATCGTCAAAAGTTCTTGGACGGCGAAGGGCCGCAGCTGATGATCCTGATGTTGAAGTAAGTGGGTCTAGTAAGAATAAAAATAGAACGGTCACGTGCTATAAATGAAGTAGCATAACATTAGATGTGCAAAGTCATGATGCCTGGTCCGCTTCTGTCCTGGGTTGACTACCTAGTGCATTGCAGCCACGAGCCAAACCAGCTCAGGCTGAGAGTTCTCACACATGATTGCTTGTCCAAAGCGCGCGTAGTCTCACCTCGCCCAGATCGGTCATGGTCTTCAGTGGCATGTCTCTGGCAGCAGCGCTTGCCTTGCCTGCTGTGGCCAGGTTCGATAATTGATAATTGGGTCTGCATGATCTATTTCTGGCATGAATGCTGTGATCTCAGGAAATTGTCGAATGTGTTATTTTACCCGTTGAACGCCTAGGCAGGCGCGCCGTGTGTCACTTGCTTTGAACTATGTTAGTACTATTACACAGAAGCATGCCCAGGGGAACAACATCTGTTCTCCTGGGCATGTTCCCGGGTACTGCAAGTCAACAAATATTCGACGCATATCTATTTTCGGTGTCAATCAACACAACAGACATACGACGACCCCGCGGACGACCACGTCTGAGATGGATCAACGTCGTCAAGAAAGACTTACAATGCATTAATCTCTCGCTTCTGGATGCTGTGCAATCTGCTTCTGATAGAGCTGCTTGGCTTGAAATTGTCAACAGATGCGTTGACCTCATGCAATGAGTGATATGCGAACTGTCATTATTTTCGGCCGGGGCATTTTTGGCCGGAAATTTGCTACGGCCGAAATTTTGTTTTGCAATGTTCAGTGTGACAGTGTATACAGGCGGCAGCAGCAGTACAGGCGGCAGCAGCAGTACAGGCCGAACATTTGAACACGCCCAAGATTTGTAGACTTAAAGTACTGGGCCGAGGTCAGCTAAAACAACATGTCTTTGGGGTTTCGAGATTTTTTTTAGACATGACGGAATGAAGAATTGTTATTGTCGAGCACGTTCACGCTGTGCTTCATTCATCAACCGGTGGAGATAGCATCTGGTCAAACTACGTTCTCACACTTTGTTTGGCGGTCTAGTTCAAGCGGCTGGCGAGTAAAGTCACAAATTTCTGGAATAATTTGTTTTGAAAAATTTCACTCCGCCCATGTTTTAGCTGGCATGGAAATTCGGTGGTTATTCACGAATTGAGGAGGTGTGTGGGGGAGGGGTAGGAGGTGTGTGTGGGGGGGGGGGGGGGGACTCCTATAGTGCAGCTTCCTCTTGCCTGGCGTAGCATCACTGATTTTGCTCGCTTTGTGCTCTTGTAGAGAGAAGAAGCAGTCGTTCTCCAAGGCTCTGAAGGTGCTAGACCACGCGCTGAGTAACCCAGAAGGAGCCGACAACTGCGCCAAGTTTGTGGAGGTGTTTGGCCTGCGTAGCCTGTTCCCGCTCTTCATGAAGGTGAGACCCACACACGGCCGCAGCACGATCGTCTCGACGTGTTGCATTGCTTGCCTAACACACAGCATGTGTGGCCTGCAGGAATGGTGTTGCTGACTGTCAGAGACTCTGTTTGCTTCCTCTCTTTCTTTTTTTGTCGTGGCATGCCTAGACGCCTAAGAAGAAAGTGCGCAAGGGCAGTTCAAGGAACGAGCATGAAGGTGAGCTTGCAATATGCACGAGTTAGCCCGATGGTGTGAGTGTGTGCACGCCTCTTTCTCTTCGTATCCCGTTTTGCCTGCATCATCCGTGATACCGGCGCCTGTAGCATGTCCATGCATGTGCTCTCCTGAGACAAGTGCCTACGCGTATGTACAACCAAACACACCAGGGGAAGCAACAGAGTGGAGAGGGGTGGGTGAGAGGGGGTTACAGCGATATTTAAACCGGTTACCGTTGGTATACGTTTGACGTTTTTTCTCCCGGTATGGTGTGGTGTTTCAACTTGCAGAACACGTGTGCACGATTGTGGCGTCTCTCTTCCGTAATTTGACAGCGAACACACGGCAGCGTCTCTTCAACAAGTTCAAAGAGAACGATTATGAGAAGGTGAGAAGAGTGTCAATGCTGCCGAGTATCACCCGCACCTCTCCCATTTTGTATTCCTTGCGAAGTCGAATCTGGGTTAGGATGGAAGTTTCATCTATACAATCATATCACTGCACCTGAAAATGAAGAGAAACAACCACTTACAGTCCATTTCAAAACTATAGACGCGTACCTAGGCAAAAACCGTTATGCCAGCATCTATACCACATAAAATCTGTGATCACTTTGTGCATAAATTTTTCCAAATTGGGCGTCTGTTATCCAATCGTTTAGAAACTATATGAGAGTAATTGTGGAGCGGACCTGAGCAATATTCCGAAAACTATTCTCAAAACGTTCCAGCCGAATTTGAAATATTTCAAAAACACTACGCGTCTATAGTTTTGAATTGGACTGTAGATAGAATCGATTCCTGTAACAAGGTACATGTCATGTAGTGTACCAACCTCCTTCAAAGAAAAGGTATTGTTGTTGTCAGGATAACTATCCGAAGTCACCAATTCGAAAACCCACCACTCTACGTGCCATTACTTACTTATTCTCAATCCAAAAAAAAAAAAAAAAAAACCTTGCTGATCGCAAAGGAAGCCCAGCCAGAACTCCAAACGCCCAGCGCGCTTGCGCTGCCACAGCTAGTACAGGCGCGTGCTGCAAAAGGGGTCTCAGCGCAAAACACAATCATAACAGTCTTACACGTGCAAATGTACAACACAGCGCTGTAGTATGACCGTACAGACCGGCAGCTACATCTACGAACAAATTTAGAAGATTCAAAACATTCATAGCGCAAGTAAATAAGTGAGGCTTCGGCCCGCGCTGAGCAGAGAGAGAGAGAGAGAGAGAGATGGAGAAGCAGAGATGGAGAAGCAGAGAAGGCGATACAACAGAAGTGAAGAACTAGGCATTGATAGAGTGAGACAGAAAACAGAGGCAAGAACATGACAACGCTGCAAATAGGGGAGTCACGTGTGCACACACACACACCAACATGACAAGACGAAAATAAATAATCAAACAAGGTAAGAAAGTCAAGTGTTCAAGAGGCAGTCTTGAAAACAGGTTCGAATGATGCACAGAATTACTGGATCTATACCGCGGCTGTAACATCCCCCCCCCCCCCCCCCCCCCCCCCCCCCGCCGGTAAGCCAACCCGGGAGGCTTACCAATTTAAAATAAACATACCAGACAGTCTAGCAAAAAGCGGGAAGTCTAAGCATTGGCTTTTGCGACAAACCATAAACAAGTCACCAGTGTTCGCCGCCACACGAGAGTTCATACCTGCTTGTGTACGTCCAGCTTACACAACCGAGCTACTGGCCTGCGGTATGTACCCGCCTGTGTCTTTACATCCACAACACGTACACGACCATCCTTGCCGGGGTGAGTGGCGACGACTCTGCCGCGAATCCAACTCCCTCGGGGTAGGTTGTTGATGTTGAGTAGCTGTTGGCACCACGCCCGCCACCGAGCTAGTAGACTAGTTGGGAGCTCGTCATCCCAGCCGATGCCACTGAGCCATACGTCCTGCAGCAATACTCTGGCAGTCACTGTGAACGCAGCTAACAGACCAAGTGGATCAAACACGGACATGACGTGACTCAGAACCGCTCTCTTGGTTGGGCGTAATGACAAATCGGACAGCTGGTTGAGGCGTGATGGATGCACGGCGAACAGGAAGCGGTCACTGTTCGGGTTCCACCTCAACCCTAGCGCACGCTCCACTGGCAGCTCAGTGTTGGCGGTGAACGTGACGTCACCCACGGCGCGGAGCTCTGGGGCGATGCTCTGGAGGACAGTGTGCGAGCTGCTCACCCAGTTACACACCTTGAATCCACCACGGGCTTGAACTTCGATGTTCTGAGCCACCATCTTGGTTGCCTCAGCTCCTGTACTGCGGCTATCGAAGTAATCATCCATGTAGTAGTCCTCTTGGATAGCGGCGGCCGTCTCTGGGTACTGAGTAGCGAACTGCTGTGCGTTGTGTCGCATCACGTACTGCGCTGGTGCGGGCGATGAAACCGCACCGAAGATCATGGACTACGTACAATATTGCTCAGGGTCGCCATGGCGGCAGTTACCGCGCCATAGGAAACACTTTGCCGACTGGTCGTCCGCCCGGATGTGCACTTGAAGGAACATCTCTTTGATGTCTCCGCCGAAGGCTACCTTGAATTGTCGAAAGTGGAGTAGGACACCAACCAGCGGATTAAGTAGGTCTGGACCCTGGAGTAGCGCGTCATTCAGACTTGTGCCACCGGACTTTGCAGCCGCGTCTAAAACAAATCTCAATTTGCCGGGCTTGTTGACATTAGGGAGGTTCCGGAGTACGATTTTTCGTGCCAAAATCCGTGGAGGCTGTACGGATTTTTTATACGTCGTTTTCGAGCAGTGAAAAGTTCCGGGGTACGGAACTTATGTGTTTGCCGTCATTGCCTAGGTTACGATCGCAAACACGTCACATTCCCGCACTATGCCTTTTTATTTTGAAAATTTGTACCGAAATCAAAACTTCCCGCGAAAAATCGATGTTTCTCGTACCAAATTTGTACGCGAAAAATCTTTCTGCACCCGATGACGCAAAATCTCCATACGAAGCATGGTTCGTATGAAAGCCAGTCTACACGGATTCTCGTGCCGAAAAATCGTATGGAGCACGCCTGGAAAAAATCCGTAGCGCCCATACGGATTTTGGCACGGAAAATCGTACCCCGGAACCTCTCTATTGTACACCCCGAAGTGCGGTAGGTACCAGGTAAGGCCGCTGACGTTGGTAGCTTCATCGGGTGAGAGCTTGCGCGCGTATCCCTTTTTCAGGTAGTCATTGACCTTGGACTCGTACTTGGCTGCAAATTCTGGCTGGGCATCCATCTTCCGTTCCAGGTGACGGAGGCGACTGAACGCCATGTCGTAGCTTTCTGGAAGCTGTGGTGAGTCCTGCTTCCACAGCTTATTTTTCCGTTACAACCTGGCTCTCGCTTTTAACTGTGTGTGTGTGTGTGTGCGTGTGTGCGCGTGTGTGTGTCTGTTTGTCTGTCTCTCTCTCTCTTTCTCTCTCTCTCTCTCTCTCTCTCTCTCTCTCTCTCTCTCGCACACACACACACACACACACACACACACTCTCTCTCTCTCTCTCTCTCTCTCTCTCTCTCTCTCTCCCGCACACACACACACACACACTCTCTCTCTCTCTCTCTCTCTCTCTCTCTCTCTCTCTCTCTCTCCCTCTCCCTTCCGTGTATATGTTTTTTTGTGATGTGTAGATTGACCGGCTGGTTGAACTTCACGGTGAATACTACCAGAAAGTACTAATGGTTGATCGTGACATAGACACAGAGAGACGGGTAAGCCAACATGAAGAACATCTACAATCCACTTTGCTAATAGTAATAACGACTGCGGGTATAACGACAATTTGCGAATAACGACAGAATTCCCATGCCCAGTGCAAAGTCTCATCTAACTGTAATACATATAATGAGACTTCGGGTATAAGGACACTTTGCGAATAACGACACTTTTCTGATGCCCCGCCGCGTGTCGTGATACGCAAAGTTGACTGTGCTACTCTTTCTACATGTTCATGGTGGGCTAGCAACTACAGACAAGAGTTCAGTTTTCGCCAGTTCCTCAATTCTAGTTAGTGCTACAGGTGGACATTTGCCTCTGAACTGGCCAGTACAGCCTGCTCAACACGCACTGAACTGACCAATACAGTGTAAACGCGGTATATACTAGGGCTGAAAGGAATATAGTATACCGAACATTCGAATATTCGTTCGTTAAGCTTTTTAAGAACGAACATTCTTGAAGTGATGAATGTTCAAAGTGCAAACAGATCTACTATTTGGTGCTATATGTCCTTCAAGTTTCGTAATTACAAACTACAGTCGAATGTCACTTATCCGGTCGCCAGTTACCCGAGCACGTCGGTTATCCGACAAGCCCGGGAGTGGTAATTTTATGACTCTCAACAGTAAAATTCTAAAATATATATATATTTGTATATTATACGGTGTAATAAGCATTTACTTGAAGTAGATGTGGTCAAGTATGCTAACATGTATGTGTACATGGAGCAATTCATGAATATGCATGAATATATTTGGGTATTGTGTACATAAATCAGTGAAATCCAGCCATATATGCACATAAAAAATGATATCAGTTATCCAACATATCCAGTTATCCAACATGCCTGATTCCCGAAGTGGTCGGATAAGTGACATTCGACTGTACTATAGCGGGAAAGTGTGGCAAAGAACAGGCATATGCAAAAGCAAAATGAGAAATGTACACATGAGGCAATGTGCAACTTTCTTCGGTCAAGCAGATTTCTACATTATGCTACTTGGAAGTACAAGAGTAAACTAAGCCAGAGCGGCACGGAGTCCACCTGACAGCACGGAGTCCACCCGACTGTTTTACTTCATAGGAAGTGACACACCGTCAAAGTCCAATGCAGCATCTCTGTAGTTCTTGCCACTAGAATGCCCTGGGCGGATGTTGCCCTGCGACAACACTGACGCTCTGGCTGTTGGGTAGTTGATTCCGGACAGCCGCCCTCGCGCTGCCTTCTTGACTTGCGAAAACACGGTTTCAACTGCGCTTCCAGGTACCCCCGCCCAGGCACAACATAGTAACTCGGGTTGCGAGCAGTGAAGCTCTCGCAGAGACCAGCAAATCCGAAGCGAAGCAAGCGAAGAAGATGCCATGTCTGCCAACTGAGAAACTTCTCTTGCTTGGAACTAGTGGACACTCAGTGGGAATCTGCTAGGAGCAATCCATCTAGCCATGACTCCAAGAAAGACTAGACTTCCTTGATTCGTACTAGAGGCTGCGAATCAGACGAGCTGACTTTCTCATGGGAGAGGGTGCCACTCTCGAACAGACTGCTGCACGCACGGAAATACTGGATAGTGGCAGCTGCATTGATGGCATCTTGCGGTTTGGTATCGATGTAAACCGAAATCTCACTTATGACTTTGGTCTGTTGCATGATTTTTGCGGGGTGAACATGTAGCTTCGTCCACGCATCTCTCAACACGAAATTCTTTCGCAAGCCAGGGACGTCTCTTGGTACACCGGCCTCCTGCCGCTTGCATTAACGCGTATACATGGCAGCTGCATTGATGGCATCTTGCGGTTTGGTATCGATGTAAACCGAAATCTCACTTATGACTTTGGTCTGTTGCATAATTTTTGCGGGGCGAACATTCAGCTTCGTCCACGAATCTCTCAACACGAAATTCTTTCGCAAGCCAGGGACGTCTCTTGGTACACCGGCCTCCTGCCGCTTGCATTCACGCGCATACATGTCCTTGATGGTTTGCCATCCGAATGGTGTGTTCTGTCAGGCGTGACGAATGCCTTCGTGCCAATGGAGGAAGAGGAATGAAGAGTATTGACCATGCTCTTCATCTGGTGGGATGGGCATATGATAAAAAAAACAGGGTTTCACCTAGCCAGATGGGATGCTCAATAGAGCATGGAACACGGTGGCGATCTGGTGTTCCACTAGCTTTCATGGAGAATGCCCCGCGGCGGCCAAGCAGGGTCTTCAGTACGGATAGATTCGTTGCAGCTCCGTCACATACTAATGTGCACGTCTTAAAATCGAATGCGTAGAACAGCCGCATGCTATGAAGCACACATGCCATGGCGACCGTGCTATCAACAACAGACTTGGCAAGCGTGTAATAACGTTAAGGCCCCATGATGTCATAGTTGAAGGACTAATCCCGCCACAAGAACTGTAGCACATATTCTGGACGGGCCGTCTCATCTCGGCTTAGCTCCACACATCGTGGAGACTGACCATGCCATCAGCCGTCATAGCGAGCCCATAGATCTCCTGGCTGCGCGAACTCCACATAACCTTGGACACAACTTTGACTTCGTCGAATATAAGGACACCTTCTTGTAGTGGTGACATCTTCCCTTCCACCACAGTTTCCTTCTTGAACTTCTGGTATCGGAATGGAACAAACCGAAGGAAGAGTGTGCACACGTATATACAACTACTATCAATGCTTTCCCCTACAAGTGCAACTACTACTTCAAGGATCAATAGTTCCCCCTTCTTCACAGAACCCCCGCCCCTCGTCAAGAGTGTGCATCTCCCGCATGCCCTGACTTCAAGTTGACGTCATTCTTATGATTCAACGCGCCTCGCACGAGCCATTTACGCCGGTTGTACAGGGTGTGCATGCCGCACACGCGCGTTTCCTTGACCTAATTTTTGCAGGATAAATCGGTAATTATTTAATTTCGTTTTATAAATAATATTAATAATTTCGTTTTGTGTTGTGTTGTTGTGAAAAAAGTTCGATATTTATGGACGACCCCTAAGTAAAGACCCAAGCCGAAATGCCGTGAACAGAACAACTACATGATTGTACATGTATTGGTGACAACTAGAACTGCATGCCAGGAATGAACGAGAGTACGGCAAGCAACCACAACTGTCCCTCAGCAAGAAGGCTATCATGAAGCAGAGAACGAACTCAAACAAATCGCTGTCTTCAGCAAAAGGTGCCCATGCGCATGCATTCAGCTTGCGGCTATGTGCGTATCAAGGCTTATTCGAATTTCAGGATTCCACCCTGTGGTAGTAGCTCCATGTGCTCACAAAGAATGGCTGGACATTGATGCTAATGTTGACTTTGCGTGACAATCATCAGCAATCATCATCTCGCTGAGAGCTAGACCAAAATGGAAGAAAACACTTGCTCCTTTTGTGTTTTAACTTTTAACGTTAAAAGGATAAGAAAAATGTGAACAGACACGAAGCCACAATTACCAGATTTTGAACGTTTTCTCGCAGCAGTCTTCTCATCTCTTAAAATTCTGTCTTCTCGTCGTTTCATGGTGTTTTTCTAACGTGTGTTGTTTTTCTAGCTCTGCAATCTCCTGCATGTGCGCTACCATTCTGAAATCATGTCTGTGTATGGTGTCGGTTGCTTGCTCTTGTCTGTGCCATGGTGCTGCAGCGACTAGGGCAGAAAGTGACGGCAGAGAATGAGGATGAGTTCTACCTGCGACGGCTGGACTCTGGCCTCTTTTCTCTACAGAGCATTGACTACATTCTCGCCGAGGTCATCGTCAACGGTGAAAGCGGGGTACGTGCTTCTTTCGCTTGTAAACAGTTGCCCTGACTATTAGTGATTGAATAATCGAGTGGTTCACATCATTCTTGGTATTGGTACCGATTGTATACCGGTCGACCCTTGCATCTACGGGCCACATGATGTCAGCTATGTTGATTGCACTGTCCACAAGCCACGATCACTTTCTGCACAAATTGTGTCACATGTCGGCGATGCGAGACGACTCTCTATATTAAAACCAATGCCGATCGTGTGCAGTGAGCACGGTGTATCAGTCTAGTTTCTTTGTAACTGACTCTGACCTACTAACTGTTAGTCTTTACATAGGAGACTGACAACTATATACTGTACTGCCCGGTGTTTGAGACGTATTTAATACTACAGTCAGACCTCGCTTATCCGGTCCTCTTTTATCCGGAGCCCTCGCCATCCGGAAGAAAATCGTTGGTTACCGATTTACGGCATATGCCATGCATACGTACAGTATGTGCGTTCAATTATCCGATTCCCTCGCCTATCCGGATATTTTGTGGAGAACGGATGTGTGCGGTTAAGCGAGGTCTGGCTGTATTTGTGTTCGTGATTTTTTGCAATGAGGGCATAGCGCAAGTACCGACCCGTGTGGCGTCAAAACTCGAACAGTGTTTGTACATGTACCAGTATGTGGCCATGGTCCTCCGTGAAATGTTGTCCTTGCAAGCCAGCTGGTTTTGGGAAATCGTGAAAATAATTGAGTGACACAGATATTGGGCGGTTTACAGTACAGTGCTAGTGCGTTTATTTCCGTATGATGCCGGGAGAGGAGAGGTATGGGATGCGATGTGGTAGATACAATGTCATTTTGTTTGTAGCTCTTCATCTACAGGTTAGGTTGTTGCAGTGTATGTATGTGTGAGGCACTGGTACTTTCTGCTGCAGTGTAAAGTGTGTTGTACTCGTACTCCTGACGATGTGTGTGTGTGTGTGTGTGTGTGTGTGTGTGTGTGTGTGTGTGTGTGTGTGTGTGTGTGTGCGTGTGCGCATGTGCATGCATGTGTGTGTGTGTGTGTGTGTGTGTGTGTGTGTGTGTGTGTGTGTGTGTGTGTGTGTGTGTGTGTGTGTCTAATCGTGGACGGCGTCGTGGCGGAGCGGCTTCCTAGTGGCAGTGCTGACTTCTCTGGAACTCTCTCTTCTACTCTCCCCTGTCTCGGGGGCGGCATGGCCAAGCATTTGGCAGCTGTACACCAGGCCAGGTGTGTGCATGTGCCTACACGTATACATGTGTGTGTGTGTGTGTGTGTGTGTGTGTGTGTGTGTGTGTGTGTGTGTTTGTGTGCATGTGCCTACACGTATACGTGTGTGTCACAGGCCCGACCGCGTGCATTGAAGCTGCTGAGCCAACACGGAGACAGTGTAAGAACATTGAAGCGGACACTGAAAGGTATGTAGTGCCATGACTCTGCAAACACTGTTTACCTGTGAGTTGTTCAACCCGGCATGTGTACACGAACGGGAGTACAGTCAGACCTCGCTTATCCGGTCCTCTTTTATCCGGATCCCTCGCCATCCGCAAGAAAATAGCTGGTTACAGATATACAGCATGCGTGATGCATCCAAGATAATCAGTGTTTGATTATCCGGCTCCCTCGTCTATCCGGACATTTTTGTGGAAAACGGATGTGTGCGGTTAAGCGAGGTCTGACTGTTCATGTGCTGAGTCATGTCCAGCCCAGTTTGAAGCTAAACTTGGCACCTTGAAAATGAAGGATGGAGCTAATATTCAATTATTCGAATTAACACCAGTGCAAGAATATTTGGAGAGGAAATTTCAAATTCAATGGTTTAACCCTTTATGGGTCTCACATAAGCGTAAGGGTCGTATGTGACCCTTACAGGAAAATCGCATTTTCTTTGAGTTTTGTTGCTAGGAGACAACTAAAATGGTGCTCCACTCGTAGCTGAGGTCCAAGGCTTTCCAACGGTGTAAAAAACAACCATACTTACCATACAAATTTTTGCAGTATCGATCGACTGAAGTCTGGTGAAATTGGAAAAGACGACCATCCGCCATGCGCGCATTTCGAGAATGGGAGTGCATCTCTTGAAGCCGTGTCAGAAAAGCTTTCTGAGGACACTGACGGCACCAGTCTAGGCTGGATGTCCCTGGAGGATTTCCAGTGTAATGTCGTGAGAAAGAGAGCTCCGTTGAGTCCTCCTAGCTCAAATAAATCGTCCCCGAATGAAGAAATCAAATTTACCAACCAGCGAGGAAGCACAGCAACAGCAACTCTTACAAGGACTTGTCAGGTGCGATCAGCTGATTCGCCTGGCCGTGAGAATCACGGCACGCGTGACATCGCACCTGAGTACTCATCTGAGCGAGAGTGAATCTGACGCGAGCGGCGCTGAGGTGAACGAACCAAAATTGTGATATTGTGGAACTGTTGCTGCTGGTGCATCGCCGATGGCGAGGTTTTGGAGTTCAAGGACGGAATTAGGAGCATATATTCTTCACCAAGACGTAGCGCTTACCTGATTGTTTATCTTAGGACTTCAGCTCCATCACGAACTTGGTATGCACTTCGTGCTGTGATTTTTGTGTTTTTTTGTTCGCAATTGTATTTTCTCTCAACTTGAAGGGCTACCACGGGTCATACCCTTGCCTGGACATAGTCATATTTTTGTTTTCTGGACTCGTCCAGGCATACAGATTTTGAAAATATATAGTTTACCCATACCTACAACTCACAGAACTCGAGTTATGGCTCGTTGTTTGTACGCGTGTTTGCGTGACCACCCCTCACATACATTGAGTAAGACCCACAAAGGGTTAAGAAAATCATCTGTTGCATGTTCCCACCTGGACGTACTCAAATGGCATCACAGATGCCATACTCGTACGGCTGCTTTGAGGTTTGTTCCAATCGACGGCTGTGCCCTGTAGTGTTTTGGCAATGGCAGAGGAGAGTTAGGACCTGTAGGAGGATGGGGACACTTTCACAAGGCCAGGTACTCTCCTCCAGATTGTGGCTCTGAACGCCCTTAGTGGTAGAAGTTTATCGAACTTGCTGTGTGTGTGTGTGTGTCTGTATTGTTTCTGGTTTTTGTGTTGACAGAGCTGTCAGAAAGCATCGGTGATGCCGACACGGGCAACTCACTGACACGCGAGGCTGAGCGGCATCGCATCGCTGAATTGCTAACACAGCTATAGTTGCGAGCCTCGCCGATACGAGCGTTCGCGTGAATCTTGAGCAGTTGGGCACTTGACTTGGCTTCCAACTGATCTCGTGACCCAGTGTGTCAAGAGCTATCCATGCTGATGTTTTCCGGGCGAGCCCCGAGCAGGCCACACAGTACACAATCATGTTGCTTGACGGCTATTTTGTACATAGTGTATAGTGTGTTTAGCCGTCTGCACCGTACTACTGAGACCTGGTCAGTCGGTCGCTGCAGAGTTGATCTGCTTCATGTGTGGTGTGGCCCTGGCTTTTCCTTGTGACAACCACTGTTGTTAACCAGTTACCTAGCGGACTATTTCCTACCATCTATCCCATTACTGGGGAACTGTCTGCATGCTGGTCCTCTCCAACACCGCAGAGAGAATTCATAGCACTTGCTGCCGCACTGCGAAGCTGTGCATACCAACGAACACTCCCAAGATCACCATGCTCTGTCACGTTTCTCCTTTCCTATCGTGCGAATTGTAGAATGCACGCGCTCGATGTATTTCTGTTCTGGATCACGGTTTACTATTTCTGAGGCTAATTTTTCCCATTCACACACACACACACACACACACACACACACACACACACACACACACACACACACACACACACACACACACACACACACACACACACACACACACACACACACACACACACACACACACTTCTTACTTCAGTACAAACGCATGTTATCGTGTTGCTTTGACTCGCTTTCATGAAACACGTAACAACATAATTTAGGTCATGTTTGACAAGATGAATATGAAGAACATGGAATAAAAAATAGAAATACGAAATAAAACAAAACGCTGTTTGAGTAGTGGTCGTGCCGCAATGTCAATTATCTTACAGGTGCGGGCATGACGATGGCTGCGAATGCAAGGGGCAACAACAACAACACATTCTCTTATTGGCCCACAGGCCAACGTGAGAATAAAAGATTTCGTAAAAAAAAAGAAAAGAAAAAACACATTGCAAATCAGATCCTAAGTTTCTGTACCAGTATGTATCAACAGTGGCACCGGACACGAGTCTATCCGCAAGATGAAACGCGCTCTAGTTCTAGAGCAACTAGCCGATCACCGCCGCAGGTGTTGCCACTGCATGTAAAAGACGACGTAAAAGAGGCTTCAATCACGTGTAAAAAATAAAACATAACAAAATTGTAAAAGATGAACGTTGTATGTACGAGGTGATTTTTTAACATTTGGCATTTTTTAACAAATGTGTAAAATTTGCTTTTCTTCTGGCTGTTTCTCTGCTCCGGATGGCTGTATCGAAACATGGGTGGTGGCAAATGAGAGCCAGTTTATCGTAGATCAACATTGACCAGAAAATTTGGTGCATATAATTTAATTCTCCCTGCCACGTCGGTATAACTAGTGGTGGGTGCTTTGCCATTTTGTGTACAATATGTTAAATGAGCCCCAGAATGGACGAGGAGGGCAGTGAATTGCTTCCGCAGGGCCTTTGGACGACGTCAGGCCGTCTTGCCATCACTAGAGACAGTAATGAAGAACAGTAGGTCACGGAATACACTCTGTGAGAACGAAAACATGGCTGCGATGCTATGCTATCTATCCAATTCCACCGTATAACACAGCCACTAGTTACAAATACAAAAACACGGCTTTCGCAGCATACAATGCAGTTCACTCCTCTGTTGACATTAATTTTCATCCACTAGCAATCCTTGAAGTGATATCTGTCAACTTCAGAACATTGATGACCGAATATCCCAGTTTGTGATGCCATTTTACAAATTTGTTAAAAATGACACACCAATTATTTGAATCCTGAGAATACTATGAAAGTAGGACATGATTCAAGACACTTTCCAAAGTGGGATCATTCCCATTTTTGGACACAACGGGCATGAAGGATAGCACTTCCACTTGCAACAATTCATTTGGACGTAGCTTGTCTAGAAGTGACTGAAAAAACGTCATTTTACAACCATGTTAAAAAAAGCCAAATCACCTCGTACAGACGATGCTTCGAAATCAGAAGCGGAAGTCATCATCGTCCGTCTTCTTCTCGCGACAGAGCAGCTCAATGAACTTCTCGATTCGCCGCTGAGAATCCGGCTTGCCGCGGGCTTCATCAGCGACATGAATCACCTCCTTGATGCCAACACTGAACGACACGGAGGAGAGGCGGCGTATGAGATCGCTGACCTCGTCGCGATTCATCACATTCAGTTCTTCCAGGACCGACTCGATGTGCGTGCCGCATGTAAGAGTTGGCACGGCCTGCGATACACGGAAGCGCACCTTCAGCTTGTCAATCAGGGACTTCTGCGATGTCGTGCCGATCACAAGCAGCTTGTGGCCCTTGGGCGGTGGGTGGGCTACGCGAATGCGGATTTCCTGGAGCAACACAGACACACACAACACAGTGGTGAGTGACTCATCAACCAACGCATCATGGGCATTGTCCATTTCAGGGCCACAAACGCAAAACACACACATGCACACACGTGTACACACACACACACACACACACACACACCATTTGACACCCATCACCGGAGGCGAAGATAGCGATGCCACAGCAGAAGCCATAGCAGCTTGTGCTACACACACACGCACACACACACACACACCACACCATTGCACAGCACACCATTGCACAGCACAGTGGTGAGGGACTCATCAACCAACGCATCATGGGCATCGTCCGTTTCAGGGCAACAATCGCAAAACGCACACACATGCACACACACACACACACCTGTCCTGTAGAGCCACTGCCACAGGGGTCACGTGGGCCCCGGAGGGGCATCAGAGAGGAAGATGGATGGATGGACCCACACACACACACACACACACACCTCAGACATGCCCATCGCGGAAGCGATGATAGCGAACAGCTATGTTAGACATAGCAACTTGTGCTGGGATTACACCATTCAACAGCTTGCAAGGCTGATGAATTGACCGCCACTATTTTTAGCCTGGTATCCACCACACAGCTATTTGAAGTGACTTTTTCTGGCCAGTGAATCCCTATTTTTCATTTTTCCATTTTTTTCCTTTTTTTCTACACACACACCACACCACATACTCCGGCATACACTGGCTGTTGGTAACCACCCAGGAGAATGAAAGAAAAGTCAGGAAGAGTCCGAGAAAGAGAAGAAAGACGTGTGCGACCATAATTGTCGGGAATTGAACCCGCAACCTCTCGATTGGAAATCGACTGCACATATCACTGCACCATATGGGACACACACACACACACACACACACACACAATTGCACAGCACAGTGGTGAGGGACTCATCAACCAACGCATCGTGGGCATCGTCCGTTTCAGGGCCACAATCGCAAAACTCTGCCACAGCATTAACAATCGCATGCCGCTGCTTACCTGGAGCAAGTGTGAAGAGTATCGGCTACCGATCGGTGAAAACTCAATCAAATTCTCGATACTGTCTACGATCACGCAGCTCTTGTGCGCACGGTACGCGTCCTCGAAGATCTCATGGATAGCATTGACCTTCGACATCTCAGTTGTACCGCTGACGAAGAGAGTGGAGCACACCTGACGGAAAACGACAACAAGCAAAGAACACATCACATCAGCCGCATCAGTGGAAGCAGGAGTACACGAGACCAAGAGTGTGCAGTTTCTGACTTTGCTGCAGCATGGGTGTTTGTCATGGCGAAATTCCTGGACTGCATCGTAGTTGGCGCAGACATGCGGTGAGAAAAAGGCGTAGTCCGGACAACTGAGACTTGCTTGTACGCACTACATCAATAGAGCTATATAATCCAGGAATTTCGCCGGGACAGCAACCCATTTGAGCTCTACCCTCTTGTGGAAGCCAGATCTTTCCAAAATGGACAAGCCGGCATCATGAACAAATCAGTGCTGTGCATTATACAGTCAGACACATCCGTTTTCGACGAAAATATCCGGATACCGATAGGCGAGGGAACCGGATAATCAAACACACATACTGTATGTATGCATGACATTATGCTGTAAATCGGTAATCAACGATTTTCTTCCAGATGGCGAGGGATCCGGATAAAAGAGGACTGGATAAGCGAGATCTGACTGTACAGCCCTCACACAATGGAACACTGAGCTGTGCAATCGAACACGGCACCGCTGCTGATACTACACAAGTCCTCATGAACTTGGGTTTCATTCGTCAACCCTGCCATATCGGGTTGCCATTCACGTCCATTCCGTCTGAAGTGAGCATGTTACGCCTCGCACCACCACAGCTGGTGCTCACTGAAACGCGACCCAAAGTGCAAAAAAACTGGCGACCTGGACCAGCTCCAATTACATCACTTTACTTGTACATGTGTACGTCCAGCCGCATTCGTACCACTTCCAGAGCGTCAAGGACCGTGCAAGTCGAGGACGCTAGATTTGCACTTTAGGTCGGATTTCACCGAGCACGACTGTTCTTCCAACAACGAAAAAGACATGTTTAATAAGGAGGGCAAATACTCTACTAACCTTGATGAACGTGAATCCAGCGCCAAGCGCAAGGTCGACGGCCATTGAAGAGGCACCGCATCCTTCCTTACCGAAGAGCAGCAACGAAGTGAAGTTGTCGATGAGCGAGTCACCGTCAGCCGACACCATGTTACTGATGACCTGCTTGCAGTTTGCCTGCGCGTCGCTAATCGGCTGGCCCCAGTTGATGATGCCGCACTGCCGGTAGTACTTGAGCTGCTCGATGTTGACGCCGAACATGGCCTTGATGTCGGTGTCCAGCGCGTAGGTGAAGTCCTGAGCGACCACCTTCATCTTGAGCGCTTCCTCCGGGTTGACGCTGACGGCGCTGTCCTCGCCAGAGCTGCTCTTGATCACGCGGTTCATGGCCGTGGCGGTTGCCGCACGCACCAGACCCTCCAGCTCGGCACCGCTGAAGTTGATCGTCAGGTCGGCTAGCTTGGCCAGGTCGACGTCTTCGGACAGCATGCCACCGTCCTGCAGCTTGCGCGTGTGAATGCTGAGAATCTGCTCGCGGCCGTCGCGGTTCGGTAGGCCAATCTCCATCTGCACCTCGAATCTACCCGGGCGCAGCAGCGCTTGGTCGATGAGATCCTTGCGGTTGGTCATGCCGATCACGAGGATGTTGTCCAGCTCGTTGACACCGTCCATCTTGGACAGGAGCTGTGTGACGACGTTATCGTGGACGCCGGTATTGTCAGAGCCGCCACCTCTTCGCTTGCAGATGGCGTCCATTTCATCAAAAATGATCATGTGAAGGCCACTGTTCGCACCGGCACGTTTCTGCTCTTCCTCGGCATCAGCAAACAGCCGCCGAATGTTCGCCTCAGACTCGCCAACGAATTTATTTAAGATTTCCGGACCGTTGACGATTTTCGGCTCCCGAGCGTTCAACATCTTGCCAATTTGCCGAGCCATCAGTGTCTTTCCGCATCCGGGCGGTCCATAGAGGAGGATTCCCTTGATATGCTTGACACCGAGCCGTTCTATGACCGCTGGCGGGAACACGCGCGACGCAAACGCACGGCGAAAGAGCGTGGCGGCCTCCTGGTCCAGTCCGCCAATGCCCATCTTGACAAAGTCGAGACTGGTGCTGATAATGCCACCTGTCGCCGCCGCACCGCCGACATGACGCCCGGTCAGGTCAACACTCTCGCCCGGGTCGAACAAGATATTCGTGTCGGGAAGAAGGATGCCGGTTTTAATCTCTGCTGGCTGCTTTGCTTTGGGTCCCGACGTCAGCACGGATGGGTCGGCAGCTTGCAGCGATATTACCGTAAGTTTCAGCGGCTTCGGGTAATCCTGTGCCTTGAAGAGCAGTTGCTGGTCAACGGACAGTGCTAAGTTGGCATACGTAGAGCCCATGTACGCATTCATCTGGTCCGTGTCTAGCTTCTTGGCGTTGCGCTGAGTGGTCCTGGAAACATGCTCTATGCGCACCGTCACCACCTCCAAATAACAATTGGCATCTTTGAACTGGTACGGAGTCACAGTGACCTCCTCACCTTGAGCCGCGTTCACCCACTTGCGCTGGAAAAATCCAAGACCTACAGTGCCTGGCCTCACATCTTTGGAAGGCTCGGCAGTGACTATGAAATCGCCAGCATTCGATGACAAGGTGAAATATTGATTCGAATCACCACGTCCACTCAAATTGCTGGGATTGAAGCACGCACGATTCGTCGCTGACAGTGCATCGCTGGGAGCTTTCTCAACCTTGAACTGCTTCGACTCCATCGTCCCGGTTGCGTCAAGAACAGCGAAGAGAAATAATGGCCAGGCCAGCACACCGTGCGGCTCACTTTATACTATCACAGTTTATATTATTATAAGTGAGATATTTCTATTTTCATACTAATGTCTTGTCTTTCCTTCTACTGAAATTTCTGCTCTCCTCCTTCAAAAACACGCCACTGCTACGTAGATTCTACGTGGCTGCAAGTCAAGAGGCATGCATGGCACACACTGACTGGCTGCACGAACAGTCATGTACATATACGAACCTGCATCATGCATATCACGATCATGTCACACGGGAAGAAATGACGTCAGCCACGTGAATCCCCTGCCCCTTTCGCCTTGATATGTACGAATACTGTACATGTCATGACGCGTTATCGATATGCACACGTGCACGGTGGATCTACGTCTACGTGTAGATCTACGCCTGAAAAACATGATCCAGTCTTGCATAGTCAGCCAAAATGGGAAATCTTGGCTTGCAATGCGGCCTGAACCATGTGAACGGCAGAAGTCAGTGAAGAGTGAAGCTGAAGGTGAACCGGTTGTCATCACGATTAGAAAATGATGTCCAAGGCAAAGACCGACTTGAGTCGAGAGGATCGTAGATCTACAGCCTACGGCGCGAGGCTGCTCGAGAGGCATGGAAACTTCCCCGGATTGCCACTTGTGACAGGCTAGGCTGGCATTAGCAGCTCATGTTTCACGGAGAAATCTGGTTATCGTTAGGCCTGCAGCCAGTTGCAACCTAAACGTTACTTTAGTAAAGACCGCGGTCAGGGACTCGAGTCGGTCTTTTCCTGGTTCGATGTCCACACCGTGTGTCACAGGGGTTCTCCGTGCTGGGACTTTTTCCTGGGCTGTCGTCCGATCTGCCAAAACAGGCCGCAATGGAATGATCAATGATTGGTCCACTACACGGAATGGATCTTAATCTACATGACATAGTCATAATTTTTATTATTACTTTGACATTGGTATGGAGACAGCCGGTGATAGAGCAACATGGTCTTCCGGGAAGTCAGTAGCACGCTGTTTCCGAGTCGTGACGTGCTGGTATTATGATGAGCTGCCATTGCCAATCAGATGTGTGTGTGTGTGTGTGTGTGTGTGTGTGTGTGTGTGTGTGTGTGTGTGTGTGTGTGTGTGTGTGTGTGTGTGTGTATGTATATGTGTGTGTATGCGTGCGAGCGAGCGGAATCGGCAATGCCGGTCACAGTGCTCGACTGTCCACACCGGCAGTCCTGGAGTTACCAGTTTGCCGCCGAAGTCTGGCCGTGCTCAGTCCGTGGTCCGGATCATGTGTATCCAATCTACCATGCAAGGCGAGAACAGGACAGTGATAATTGCCGAGTCCAATGAGTGCTGTATCCCCTGCACAACCACCAGCAGTGCGTCGGACGTTGCCCACCAAGCTTGGCAGTGCACTGTCACATGACGTCGGAGCCACTAAAGTGGCGAAATGGCACCAAGACCGCATTAAGTGTACCGTGTTACTTTCATGAAAGCCTAGCAGTACATGCAATCTAGCATCACGCTGTACAAGCGATGTAGCATCGAGCCAGTAAGCAGCTTGAGCCAACCCGTGACCAGCATCAGAAACTCTTTGTCCATGTACTCTGTCTCCCAAGTGATACTGCCGCGTAGCAAGCCGTGGCAGTGTATTTCGAAGCCCTCTGTCGACGGGATTCGGATGCATTTTGAGGACGCTCGCACAACCTTTGTGGGCAGAATCAGGGCAGATATGACTAAATAGGGAAGAGCGAGTTCAGCCAGCAACGAGAAGCGTGCCAGCACATTCAGTCCGCGGCGTGACTCTCGCAGACACCGATGGCCGGCCGCCGCAGTTTCTGGGATGCAAATTCATGACCGTTGTAAGCTAGCCACAGGCATTAAATCTACCGAACTACAATGACTTGTAAACGGTGGAGATATTCGTAAATCATGTAAAAGGCAGTGGCCTGGCCAGTGTGGGGCAGATCAGGATTTTGCCCCTCTATTTTGCCAGCCAGACTGCGGCCTGACCCAACTTTTGTGAAGTTTTGTCACAAATCATCATCGGAGTCTTTTTTTTATTCAGATCAGGGCAGGGAGTCATAAACTACCATTCTTACGATTCCCGGCTCACTAAGAAGGAGTCATACGGATACAACTCCCTGAGTGCCACTACCGTACCACTAGGTGTGTGTGGGGAGGGGGGGGGGGGACTCTTGACTGATGACCACCAATCCCATGCCTGCCAGCATGCAAGAGTACCGACTAAAGTAAAGTCATACTTGTACAATGTACAACCCCCTGGGCATGGGGCGGGGCCCACTGAGCCGGGGGGGGGGGGGGTACGTGTGCGTAGTAAAATCAGTCTATTACTGTAACTAATATTAAAGTAATATGGAGCCGAGGGATTACAAAATCGGGTGAAAAACCAAGACTCATAGTCATAACAAACAAACAACCTGACTACTAGACTGTAAAAGCCATTATTCTAACGAGGCGCAATTATAACGATTTCCCCAAATTGACTAGTTTACGAGTACCAAAGGTAACGATTCTCACTCATTCTCAACTAATTACTTCATTTTAAAGTAAAAGATAGGTGTCCTGGGATGATCTGCCTCATCTACAGTCCATTCATAAAAAGATGGGTCCTGGCTCTGGCGATCTCCCGTATTTGGCGATTTTTCGTGATTTCATCGTACACAGTGCAGTGCTGCGAACTTTGAAATTTGAAAAAGGGTCCAAAAAGGGTGCCTGAACTGGGGTTCGAACCGCAGAATGCACTGTTGCAGGCGGGGTCAAACGGCCTGGATTTTGATGATTTTTCCCAATTCAGTGCTTTTGGGGCAAAACCTGGCCGAAATCCTATTCTTGCTATGGGGAGTATGGCTTGCTTTTTGGACAAAAAAACTTCAGAAACATAATTATAATTTAATTGGAAGAGGATTCCATAATTATGGGATTGCAGAAAAAAATTCTAAAAAAACTCAACGTTTGACCCATTTATGGCCAAAAGCTAGAAGTTCATTTTTTTCTGAATGGACTAGCAGCTAGCTGCAACAGTAAAATACGGTTTTTTAGTACTCCCATACCAAGAGTTCATAACCCCCATGGGGGTTATGAACTCTTGCCCATACCCTGTTAGTGCTGACCCGAATTTGCCAGCTGAATCTCGATATTTTGCGGCATAATTTTGCTCGTGCATCGTCGAAATTTTGCTTTCATTTTGCTAGGCCACTCGATATTTTGCTCCCTTTTTGCTCCAAAATTTGTGTCACGTGTGAGAAAACTGACCGAAAGTGGGTTACGTGTTGGCAAAAATGAGAAAAAGTGAGTCACGTGTTGGTAAAATTGTGCCAAAATGAGTCATGTGCACCGTATATGTGTAAAATCTCCCAATTCCCAGCCAACACACCGATATTTTGCTCCATTTTGCCAGCAAATTCCCTTTCAAAATTCTTCGATATTTTGCTAGAAGAATTGCTAGCAAATTCGGGTCAGCACTATACCCTGTCCATGGTACGATCGGTACGCGGTGCAGACTGCACGTAGCACTGTTCGTCATTATCAATCTTGCAAGCAGGGAGTAGTAGATCCTACAGTACTACTATTGTATACTCCCTGCTTGCAAGCTTGTCTTTTGACCTGAGGAGATAATTATTTCAGTAATCACTGTTAGTTTTCATTTTTCAATGACGGGTTGTAAGTGTAAAGTGGCGAGTGGTGACCATCTGTGCTGGAACTTAGTTACTTGTTGAGCCCACTGCACTGGTACTTGAATGGTGTGTGTGTGCGCGTTTCGCCAACCCGCGCAGCGCTGGTCTGACGAGGTGGCCACTGGGGAATCTTGTGTGAATGAAAATTGTAAATAATTAGCTGAATCCATGGCATTCCAGCCATCAGATGCCACAATGTTTGAGAATCTGGAACAGGATTACGAGGAGGAATCCGATGGAGCGGATGAGGAGTTGGATCGACGGGAGACAGTGTCCAATATAGTCTCGACGAGCTACGAAACAGTGGATGATGGCGTTGACAGCGCCCCACGGTAGGTAGATGGGCAGGACTGGGCCTCAGGAGCAAACAGATAATTCTTATCTTTATACCATGCGTACAAGTAGTTACTGCCTGAAGTTAGAACGACTACGTGGTCCGATTGTATACGCTGATAGTCTGCTGCAGTGCATTGTCTAAAGTGTATACCTTCTGCTCAACCAGTCCATCAGATAAAAGTGACCTCGTGGCAAAGCATGGGAATCTACATGAAGTACATTAATCTGAAGCCTAGTTCACATTCCACGCAACGCTGACGGTACGGGACGGCTGGGGTGAGCTGTAAAATCTTGTACGATCCGTACGACACGACATGCTGCAGTCGTTGCGGCATTCAACAGCGAGCGGCGCGAGTCATAAGGCACGGTCCGTGACGGGGTGACTTTCGGGCCTAATTTCTTGTTTTTCGGGACAATTATTTCTCCTTGAATGAAGCGGAATCAAGTTCACAATACCAGTTTTTCACAAAGACTAAAAAAGTAGCCCTGAAAGTTGTGCCATTCAAATAATAGCCCCAGGAAATGATACAGCAGTTCGTCTGTCACGCTCCTGAACTATCCCTAAATACCATAAGTGACATGAGATCTTATCTTGCTAAAATTCAACCCAAGTTGTGTTAGCCATTCTGCGAGTTATCATGGGAAGCGCAGTGTTCGAAGTGCTAAAAATTTCCAAGTACGAATCGGGAGTAGTCGGCACACTACGCCGTCTCCTGTTCACACTCAAAATGCAGCCGTTTTGTACGCTTGCGTCCCCGTCTACGCCCGTCTACGGTATGAAAAGTTGAACTGATCCAACTCTTCCCGTCGTTTCCCGATCCGTACGGTTGCGTTCCCGTTCCTGGTGTTCACATTGGACGCCGTCAGACCGTCCCGGCACTTCCTGTCGATCCTTACGCCCCGTCGCGCCCCGTCGAATGTGAACTAGGCTTTATACGCCGAAGACCGAAAGATGAGCCGATCTAGCCAAGCTCGTTATTCATTTCTTCTCCATTTGAATGCTGCATACTGCAATGTTGATGCTCGGGACGATACACACCTGGCTTTTCTTCGGTACGCGATCGATATACAGTACTGCCGGGCGCCGAAGAACGACCAAGCTAGAATTTCACCAATCACAGCATACCAATGTATACACAGTGACTCAACTGTGCATAGACAGACCATAGTACATATACATGAAAATATGAACGGTCTAGGCTACAACGCTGATCCCCAGTTCTTCGGCGACCGACAGTACTGTGGTGTGGATGTGATTCAAGACAGCTTTCCACTCTACACATAGTGTATCAGGGGCGTTATGTGCATAGCGATATGTACATGACTTGTACAGTGATTTGCCGGTTTTGAGACAGAATTCGTTAGAATTTCATCTCGCTAACCCACAAAAATCCAGAGATCGCTAACTTAAATTGACGCTAAAATATCTGGTCTTACAGGAACGACAACTCGTCAATAACAACACTTTTCTGGTGCACGATCGAGGGGCGTTATTCGCAAGTCTGTACATGAAGAGCTGAGATGCGAAACCCGGTAATGCCGAATTTGGGAAAATGTGATTTTCAGCTCAGCGTAGTCAAAAGGTCGAGAGGCACCACCACTCAAAATTTCACATTCAAAATCTGACTAGAACCGTTTCGAAACTGGAACCCAAATTTGGATTTAGATACCACCCGCACATATTAAAAATGAATCCTTTTTTGGCCATTTTCGGAAAAGTGGTGAAATGGATTTAGCGGGTTTTTGCATCTCAGCTCTTCACGTGTATGTGTGTATGTTATCCTATCGAACGTCCTCTCCGATTCTTCTGCCTGTGTGCATGTATGCGTATACAGCGACCGGGCGAATACCCGGTCGGATCGCTGGGCGGCCACGGCGGCGCACGTACGCAAGCGCATCGAGAGCACGAAGCGGCACACCAAGGCAATACGCAAGAAGTACAACGACATTGTCACCAAGCGTGAGAAGGACCCTCGCCGGCCGGGCCAAGGTAAGCCTGCCTAACTTGGCTTTAAAACTTGAACTTGCTGCCATGTTCGTTTTCATTGATTGGTGTAGCCCTATCACTGGTTGATTCGTAGCCAACATTCGGAGTCTAAGCTGCACGGGCGATTTTTGAGGTGTTTTAGGCCTTTCAAAGTGGGGGTAACACCCGGAAATACGGTAATATGTGTTTGTCTTTCTTCTTCCCTGCTTGTTTGTGGTAGGTGGTCAGCAACTGGCAATGTATGGCGCACCATTGCAGGTTGCCGTCAATCGCAGTGTGCTGAATCAAGGCGTGCAGCTGCCCACGGTTGTGCGCCACTGCATCGACCATCTGGAGGAGTTTGGTAAGTTGCATACGGTTCTATTGTCCTCTTTCTCTCTCTCTCTCTCTCTCTCTCTCTCTCACACACACACACACACGCACGCACGCGCACACACACACACACACACACACACACACACACACACACACACTTGGAATGCAGCCATCTTGGATAGCTGCCTTCTTCTATCACACGTTGGAATAGTGCATGGTGCCTGCATGGGTGGTGTTATCAGTTCTCTTTGCGCTCTGCTTTGTTCCCACAATCTTTGTTTGTGACTAGCGGCTTCTCACATGTCCTGTCTCCTTTGCTCAAGAGTTTCTCGGTTGTTTATTTTGGTTTTTGTCCCACGGCTTCAAGGTCTGGATCACCAGGGCATCTATCGGCTCTCTGGGCAGAAGTCGAAGGTCGAAGCCATCAAGGCAGCATATGATAATGGTACGTAACTGCAGCTACTATTGAAGTTGTTCTTACTGTTCACAGAATGATTTTGCAATACGATGAGTCTTGGATGCCCAAGAGCAATACAAACTTGCGTGTATGATTCTTCACCTTGGTTATATTTCAGGAGTGCCACGTGACGTGTGTAAGACTAACTGGATTTGCGTGGCTGAGCAGCTTTACCGATATTCATGAACAGTTTGAATGCTTTGAATTCAAGTGGTGGCGGTGCTCGTACTTATGTTTGCGAAAGAAACTGTTTCAGTTAAAAGAGCATGCCTTCACACGTGGAGGTGCACTTGTATTCGAATATAAATGCGTGCCCTTTTATGCGCTTGAATATGGTATAAATGTGTGCCCTTTTATGCGCTTGAATATGGTATAAATGTGTGCCCTTTTATGCGCTTGAATATGGTATAAATGTGTGCCCTTTTATGCGCTTGAATATGGTATAAATGTGTGCCCTTTTATGCGCTTGAATATGGTATAAATGTGTGCCCTTTTATGCGCTTGAATCTTTACTTATAAAAAAGAGGCACCTGTGACGTGTGTTTGTCTGTGTGTCACGCAGCTTCTGCAGCGCTGCCCTGAGCACGCGAAGCGTGCGAACAGTGTAGCTAGCGGCCGCAGAAGCACTGAGCACGCGAAGCGTGCGAATCGTGTAGCTAGCGGAAGCAGCCACAGAAGCACTGAGCACGCGAAGCGTGCGAATCGTGTAGCCACCACCACGTGCTGAGCACGTGTGCTGTTCATGTACTTGCTTCACCCGCATGCCACGTTCGGCCAGGCAACGCTGGCCGGGTGCTGCTAGTATGGTATAAATGTGTGCCCTTTTATGCGTTTGAATATGGTGTGTACAGTACTACCTACCCCCCCCCCCCCCCCCGGGCCACCAACCCCTGAAGATGTGCCATTGTTTTGTTAATCATCGTTGCAGGTGATGAGATTGACCTGATGGACTACACTCCGGATGAGGTGGCCGGCGCTCTGAAGCTGTACCTGCGCGAGCTGCCGTCCAGCGTCCTGGAGCCCATCACGGACGAGGTGGATCAGCTGATTACCAGTAAGCCGTTGTTTGATGTGATTTTATCATCCATCAAATTAGTCACCTCTTGCAACCGTAGCTCTCACAGTAGTATCAATACATGTATCATCAGTGGAATTCAGGCTGCTAATTTCAATGTGTTTCTATGTGTGAGGAAGACTAACAACAAGAGTACATGAAAACCAGAGTGTGCAGCTCGGATGGGTTGCTGTCACGGCGAAATTCCGTGATTACATCATTTTAGTGATGTAGTGCGTACAAGCAGGATTCAAGCAGGTCTCTTTCTGCACAACTGCAGCTCAGTTGTACGCACTACGCCACTTCCCGCCTCAGATCTGGGCCAAATATGATGTAATCACGGAATTTCGCCGTGACAGACACCCATAGCAGAAAAGGCCCCAAGCTGCACACTCTGGTTTTCATGTACTCTTGCTAACAATAATAAGAGGACGAAAAAAGTGTTTTTACTCCGAGTTTCACGCACTAAGCGATCATCAGAAAACAATAATGAGTAAATCTGTGTAAATCTGTGAGGAAGACAACAGTCCATTTCAAAAATATAGACGCGTGGTATTATTTCAAATTTGGCTGGAGCTTTTCGAGAATTTGTTTCGGGATATTGCTCAGGTCCTTCCCCCAATTACTCTCATATAGATTTTTAAGCGATCGGATAGCAAACACCCAATTATCGCCCCTCCCCCGAGACACACACATCATAGCACCATAGAATGGGGTTGCATTTTTGTTGTTTTTGCCATGTGATTAAGCAATCACGAGTGAAACGAGGGTTGCCTGCTGCTCCTCGTTGCTAGTCTTGAAGAAGAAAAAAATCACGCCCATCTGCTGCTGCTAGCTGCCAATATTGATGCTGTCCCTGCGTTCACCACCTCCAACTGCTGAGGTGCCTCGTGCTGTGGCACTCCCACGCCTTGGTCCGCCCTGCATTGATCCGGCATCGTACTCTCGTACTCGGCTCATGCTGCCGTACTCTCGCGTTGTGGCCTCGTGGGTACGTCTTACGCTATTTGCGCTTGCCACGTGCCTTACCTGGTGGGCTCTCGCGCCTTATTTCCCATATAAGCATGGTGGTGTCTGTCATTGTGGACCGGGCGGCATCCTGGGACTTCGCCTCTTCCATACATGGTATGTTTGCTCCGCCACACCGCCTGTTCTATCTTGCATACTCGATTAGTACTAGCTAATACTGTAGCTAGTACTGTACCTTGGCTGAGGCTTAGTACGCGCGCTGGAGTCCTTTCGTGCCATGAAAGGAACTGCTTCCTAATATAGAGATTAGGCGCCATGAGCCCTGCTGGTAGTAAACATTGCATTAGTAGCGCTGATACCTTTCTGCAAATATGGGGTAGTCTCGCCTGCGCATATGGGCGTACTCGTACTCATGGTGCGGCCTGGGCTTTCCCCAGTATGGCTGCCCGCTATTGCATGCCAGACACCCCCATTGTTGCGCGCCTAGCCACGCGCGTGGCTTTTGCCTGCTGCTCGGTTGTCAGCGATAACTACGATTTGCCGTACGCTGCAAACCTACATTTAAAAATGCTGCTGTGAGAGCTTTCTGTAGAAGAGGTGACTACACTGTAATTAATGAGTTGTTAGGACCGGCACAGTCACAATTAGACGATCGGGTCAAGTATTAGTTGACAGCGACAAGGAATCTCAGAGGTTCGTATAGAATAATGTCAGGCAAGCAAGACAAAGACCAAGCAAGGCGAGCAAGACAAGGCTAGACAGGGCTAGAAGGGCCAGGCCAGTCCAGTGACGGTACGGTGCGTGGCGGGGCATGGTCGGCATAATAAGGCGGTGCGGTGGCAGAACATCGGCGTCGAAGTATCGGTGTCTCGTCTTGCGTATCGTCGGGCGTATCGTTCGTGGTCGTTGTCGAGGCTGTGGGCGTGGTCGTTGTCGAGGAGGCGGGCGTGGTCGTCGGAGCGGTGGTCGGTAAGTGCGGATATTCAGGCGCTGGCGAATAGCCGTTATCAGTTCCTCTGCCGATGGAGGGCGCGGTTGTATAATAAGGTGGCGACGCCCGGCGTCCAATCGTGCCGGCCTGATTAGTCCGGGCGTCGGTGGTGGAGATGGAAGTACGGGCGTCCGCGGCGACGGCGGCGACGGTGCTTGCCGCACCCAGTCATCGAATTCCGGCGGCGTCCCCCATGGTGAGATATCCCATGGCTCTAGCATGGCGCAATTCGGATGCGGCGGCGGCGTTTGGGGCGGAGGTGGAGGCGGAGGAGACGAGGGCGGCGAATTCGGCGGAAGCGGAAGCAAGAGGGCTGCTGCCATTTCCTCATCAGGTGAAAGAGACATACTCGCTATAATGGTGATGAGTGGAGCCCCACACCCAGGACGAGAACAACGAAGCAAAAACAACCGACCACACACACCAAACAAACCAACACCGAATTAAAGGACACTTATCGGTAAAGAATATTAAATTAAGTCGGAGGGCGAGAACGAGTATTGTACGTGTGTGTAGGTGCAGCAAGTGTTGGTCGTGGAGGCGCAGCAAGAGTTGTTCGTGTAGGCGCAGCAAGCGGTGTTCGTGCAGCAGGTCCCATTTGCGTCAAACATTTCCGAAGGCGATTTCGATGGACTGTGCAAGGCCGATGGCGGATAGGACTCTCAAATCGAGGTTCAATCGCATACGTAACGTCTGTCGGTTTCTTTACAATTTCCCAAGGTCCCGACCAATATTTGAAAAATTTAGGCGAAACTTGAGGCGGCGGATGTCGATGTAACCAAACTCGGTCACCTACATTCAATGGACTAGCGCGAGATTTTCGATCGTGACGGACTTTAGAACAACGTTGACTAGAATCGAGATGTTGTCGAACCAAATCGTACGAGGAACGCAACTTTGAAACATGTTCTGTCGCAAAAGATTCGTGCGTTTCAGGAAGTGAGTCGGCAGGCGGAGGACACAAAATATCGAGAGGCATATGTGCCTCGCGACCAAACATTAAAGAATACGGCGTAAAATTCGTAGACGCGTGAACACTTGTATTGTACGCTAACATCGTCGAAGGAAGTAGCTCGTCCCAATTCGAATTGGCCTCGTCAACAAAAATCTTCAAAACATTCTGGATCGTTCTATTCGCTCTCTCAACAACACCATCGCCCTGCGGATGATACGGAGTCGTTCGTGATTTATCAATGTCAAGACGTAGGCATAGCTCGCGAAACAATAGTGATTCGAACTGCTTACCCTGGTCAGTGTGAATGCGCTCAGGTAAACCATGGCGAGACACAAACTCTTTTACAAAACATAGAGCGACAGTACATGCACGAATATCTGGCAATGGATAGCATTCAGTCCATTTTGAAAAATGATCAACAACCACGAGAATATATGCATTTTTTGACGATGAAATTGGCAGTGGGCCCATCAGATCCATTGCAACTAGTTCAAGCGGTTTGGAAGAAGCCAAATGTTGCAAAGGTGCACGATCAACTGGATTCTTTGCTTTCGAACGCTGACAGTCGGTAGAGCATGAGACTCTTAATCTCAGGGTCGTGGGTTCGAGCCCCACGTTGGGCGCCAATGTTGAGTTCGAAACAGGACGACTGACAACGTATCCAGACATTACAACGGGAACAAGTTAGTGGGGAACGACATTTATTATAGACGACGAGACAAGAGACCAAGACGAACGAAACGACTACATGGTGATTATTGACGAGTGAGAAAAGAGAGAGAGAGAGAGATCAAGTCTGAACGGCAAGATAAAGGGCCTGGGTAGCTATGGCAAATATGGGCGCGCAAGTAGCTACCCAGGCCAACGGAACAAAAGGAGACAAAAGGTGAGTACGTAAGTGCATGCAGGCCAGCTACAAAAGGTACGGGAGGAGGTACCTAACAGAGTTATAAAATGACATTGATGTATTGGTAGATTCCACTCACTGCTGTTGTATGTTGTGCAATACGATGAAACCTCTCTCCGACTGCTCAGGGGACCTTCAAAACGTGGTTGCTGTCTACAGGTGGTCTCCTTATCCAGTGTCATTTAGCTGGAAATAGCATCCCTTGGTCCTAGATTCTGTGGTCCTCTGGGACACTCCAGCAGGTGGTGGCCTTACACGTCGTTTCATTGCACATCAAAGTGTTGGGTGATTCCGTGAAGTATATTTTTTGGCTGTTGCTGATGAAAAGACTATTCGGGTCAAGAGTGTTCCCTTTTCTAATTGTCCACAAACTCCAACGCAGCCACTTACGCATTTAGGAAACTTCACTTCTCAACTCCAAATTCCGAAAACGGTCTCTTCACTGCGATTCTAATTCTAATTTCTTGTAAGATTTACATTACACCAAATTTTCGGGCCTGGCGCATCATCAGGATAATGAATCGCAGTGAAGAGACCGTTTTTGGAATTTGGAGTTGAGAAGTGAAGTATCCTAAGAGTGTTCCCTTGGCTTATATTGCTCCTGTTACATCTTGTACTGTTGCCTTCGTCGTGCAAACGACCATTATAAATGTAAATGCAAACTCACATGTGTGTGTGCGCGCGTTCACGTGTATGTGTGTGTCCGTGCGTGCGGGTGTGTGCGTGTGTGTGTGTGCGCGATCCCCTTGTTCAGATACGGATCTAGATGTTCCAACGCGCTGCCAGCAGGTGCACGAGATGTTGGAGGCGCAACTGCCACCCTGCAACTATGCGCTGGTGTCATGGCTGTGCATTCACTTGTCACACGTCATTGCAAAGGTGAGAGCAGTGCTACAGCGGGGTGTTGCACGGCACGGTGATCACTTGTCAATGTGAAAGATACTGTTTTGCTGTGGCTTCTGCTATGGCATCGCTATCATCGGCTTTGGCAATGGGGTCCTATTGTGTGTGGGTGGGTATGTGTGTGTGCGCTCGTGTGTGGATGTGTGTGTGCGCTCGTGTGTTTGTTTGTGTGTGCGCCTGTGTGCGTACATACATGTGTGGATATGTGTGTGCGTGTCTGTCTGCCTCTCCGTACCGCTCAGGCCGATATCAACAAGATGAAGCTGGCCAACGTAGTTATTGTCTTCGCGCCAACAGTGGGCATGAGTCAGCCCACGCTCAACTTCTTCTTCACGTACCCCAACGAAGTCTTCCAGGGCGTTGAGCTGCGACACTACGTTGTGCCTTCACTGGATGACACACAGCTGTTCTCACAGAAGGACCTCGACGCCATGGATCCGTCAGAACTGACCTGGCAGCTTATCAAGACGGAAGACTTGCTGACACAGCTGCACAAGGACCTGCACACGCTGACTGAGAGCGAGGTGAGGAGTAGAGACACTGCTATCCGCCACTGCTGCTGCTGCTGGCTGATATTGTCTCCGCTTGTCTGTATACGTAGATCTGCAGAACTGATGATGTACACCCTCTTTGGAGTTATTGCTGATATCCATGAACCTTCCAAGTGCTAGTTTGAAGGCTGTTGGTTAGCGCTATCGAGCAGTGCTCAGACTCACGTTCATGCCGTAGAATGTCTCAGCACAGTCAGACCTAGCTTAACCGCACACATCTGTTTTCCACAAAAAAATATCTGGATAGGCGAGGGAACCGGATAATCGAACACACGTACTGTATGTATGCATGACATACGCTGTAAATCGGTATGCAACGATTTTCTTCCGGATCGCGAGGGATCCGGATAAAAGAGGACCATATAAGCGAGGTCTGACTGTACTCCTGGTCAGTTTTGTGTTAGCTTGTGCACGTCTGACTGTTCGTAATCTGGTCTAGTTGGTGAACTCTAACGCATAGCTCGTGCCCCACTGTTTGCATTTTTCAATTTAGTACATTAAAAGTAGTGCCGTATTATGCTTGCTGTGGCCATGGCATATGCTTGCTGTGGCCATGGCATATGCTTATGTTGCTTATGTCCGCGTGTTTATTGTGATCCTGTGTTTACTGTCATCGCTGGCTTTCCTTGTGTTGCTCAGAAAGAGTCAAAGTCCGATATGATCTGGAACTATCAGCGCCAGGTTACCAACATCAAGAGACTGGTGAGAGTTGCTGTGCCGCTGTTGCCTGCGGGTGTTTCCCTGCACCGTGTTCTGCTTGCTGTGCTGTGTGTATTGTAGTGGTGAGAGTCCAAACCGCTGAATGTTTCAAGGCCACGCACCTCCGTGTATGAACCCTATGCATGATCGTAGTATAAACAGGTGTCCGATTTCCACACATGCACCACTCACGGTGGCTGTTGTGCTTTGCGAGGCACAGATTACTCTGCGTTGTTAACAACATATCCTAGTTGAGAACTCAGATGGCGAGCCAAGGAAAACAATTTGTAACATGGAAATTGTGGGCACACGTTATGCGATCGAGCAGTGCTCAAGCTGACTTTCATGCCGTGGAATGTCTCAGTACTCCTTGTCAGTTTTGTGCTGGATTGTGCACGTCTGGCTGTTCAAAATCTGGTTTAGTTGGTGGACTCGATCGCACAACTTGTGCCCACAATTTCCATGTTACAAATGGCCTAGTTGCTTTCTATATTTATTTATTTTGTTTACTATGTTCACATACCCAGCTCGAAAAGAATAATGAATATCCATGGTCGAATGCCCTGTACATGTACAGCATGGATAGACTTCACCTGCTCCTCTAATCACACAACTGCACCAGATGCTACGTGATATGTTTATCCCACTCATGATCATGAGGACATCCGTGCTGAAGTACCATTGTGTATGTGTGTGTCTGCCTGTCTGTCTCGCTCTCTGTCTGCGGCGTGGCACGCGTTCAGTTGCGCACCAAGGCCAAGACCATGATGAAGCACGTGTCTACAGTTGGAATGGAAGACCACTACTCTTCAGCCACTACGGAAGAACACCCGGCAGAAGGTGTGTCTTGATGATGATCACAATTAGTAGCAAGTTTTATCAAAATTTAAATATTTGCCGGGTTGGAAGGTGGGAATTAAAAAAAAATAAAAAAAATACTAGTCAACTGCCATGTACATCTAGCTTCATCGCACTAGTTTGTGGCGAATGCTTTTGATCTTCTCTTGTGTCTGGTTTGTATTTCTATAGAGAGGTTCTGCGAAACGAAAATGTGCACGAAGTTTCGCGACGTAGAGCGTAGAGCGAAAGTTCGTACGCTTTTTTTTCGTTTTGCAGAACCTCTCTATTAGTGCATACATGTGAAGACTTTTAAAAGTGTGTTTCTGTTCATCGGCTATGCATTCTTTCTTCTTTTTTTTCCGCATCGCTCTCTCCACCCGTGCGCAGATTGGCAGTCGTTGCAGACAATAGTATTGGAAACGCTGACATTAGAAATTGAGGTAAGACAGCGGTGTGAGTGCATGGACACTGGTGACTGGGCCAGTTTGATTGCTTCCAATGGTGATAGCTGATAATGCCCAGGCGTACACTACAGCAAATTCTGAAATATTTGAGCCCTGATCCTTTTCAAACCTGATTTGGGCCGTATTTTGGCTCGAACCCTGTTTCTTGATTCATACTGCACACTGCAGTACGGCATTTTTCTTGCTGGATGTATTCGGCTGGAGCTTGACTCAGTAGAATGAATTGGAAGAGTTCAGTGCAGTAGAGTCTTCGAATGCCTTTGAGTAATATCCATAGGAAGACGTTTGTCGACACTGGTGTCGTTGCCCAGTGCATGTAATGTGATCAATCAAGGTAAAGAGGCAAGGACACTATGTCGGCACAAACTCGTGAGTCTTGGGAGGAAGCATGCAAGGTCTTACCCTTAGCAAACATGAATTTTGCAGGCCTGTTAGCAGCTCTTCACCTTGTAATCACCCCGCCTTTGTTTTGCTTTTGTTTTGTTTTTCATGTAGAAATTGGAAACGATGGAAACGTCACTTCGGGAGAAAATCACACAGGAGAAAGAGTGGACGGACATGGTCAAGGTACTGAAGTAATATTTATGTGCATTATCTACTTCTATACTGATATTGTGCGACTTCGGCGACACTTCGGGAATTGTTTGTCGCTCCCTACATGGGAGCTTGCACTTTTCCTGCCCACTTGAATCTCACTTGACTGGCTCACGACTGTCATGCAGAGCACACGAGAAGTCCATCAAACCTTCCACCCAGCAAACCTGCAAGAAAGCACTACTCCCTGCTCAATACTAGTACATAGTAGCCAGTGTCTCGGGGAACTCGCCCCTCGCACACCACGGCTGTACGAAATGGGTGACGAGGCAGCCCAATCACGTTGCCATGGTATTCGGGTCTCATCATCATGGAGATCGCAACACCGTTTCCGGTGGCGCCTGAAAACTAAAAAACATTGCCCTTTTCTTGTTTATCATGGCCCTAGAGGGTAAGTGCACCTGCAGGCGTGGGGCTAACGTATTACTCTATCATGTTCCTCTACCTGTTGCTCAATTTTTTTAATGATTATCATTGAATGTCTCCTTAAATACTCCATTCTGATTCACTGGTGATCTCTTATGTTGCCTGCTGCTCTATTGTGCAGAGTCAGATAGCTGAGCTCCATCGACCACCGTCCGCTGAGAAGCCGACAACGGATGAAGTAAGGCCGCCACCTTGATTTAGACTTGGCAATGCATAACGTGTAATTGTTGCTTGGAGACCTACAGCTAACAATATTTGCTCCTTTAGGTCACGATGACGATACGTCATGTACCCGTAACTTGTTCCTATTGGTCACGTTCGTTATGTGGATTTGTAGCCTGGAATAAATTACAATGCAGTGAGCCTGCAATGGTGGTGGGTAAATGTATGTGTCGGTTCTGCAAAGAAATTAAGAACCATTGTTTCGGAGAATTTCAGTAGGCGATTGCAGCGAATGCTCAAACTTTCTATATGCTTTCCAGGTAAAAGAGACTATCCGGTTTCAACAGTCACCCGGTCTGTAAGAACACTATTCTTTTCACAAAAAAAGTGACAAAATACAATGTATGTGTAATGTGCAAGGGCTGACCTGGTTTTGGGCACCATCTGCATTCAAAAACCACATTGGACCAGTTTCATGGGGGGTCTCTGAAACCAGCTCTCACATGGGTCTGTGTGTGTGTGTGTGTGTGTGTGTGTGTGTGTGTCTGTCTGTCTGTCTGTCTGTGTGCATGCACAGGATATCTCTACGTATACCCAGTTGTCATCAGAAGTAGAGCAGTGGGAGGTAAGGCCTAGCTGCGTTGAGTTGTATTGAACCACTGCTACTGCTACATGCGTATTCATTGACAACAATACCACTGTGATCGTTAGGTCTGCGCTTGGGCGCCCGCTCGTACATGTGTGGGTGCGTGCATGTGTGCGGGTGTGTGGATGTCTGTGTGGAGGCACGCGTGCCATGTCATGTTCACTATCAGCCACATGCATAACTATGATCTTTCATCTGTACAATCATTTACTGTAAATCATTTACTGTAAATCAACAAATTTTCACTGGCGATTTATTTTCGCTGAATTCGCCGCGCCGGTCGATGTCAATCGGCCAAAATTAATCGCTGGCCAAAATTTGTCACCAGGACCAAATGTCTACTACTATACTACTAGTACTAGTAGATGCGCACACGAGACATAGTAGAATAGTAGTAGAATTTATTATTTTGATAGGGAACATCGATCACCTTTTTGGACTCTTGCACGCCCACGGCGAAAGTTTAGTGCCGGCGAAAAGGGTTTTTTGGAGATCGGCGAAAGTTTTTCACCGGCAAAAATTTGTTGATTCACAGTACCTGATGTTGTTACTACTTCGGTTATGTGCTGACTCACTGCATGTGTGTGTCTGTGTGTGCGCGCACGTGTGTGCACATGTGTGTGTGCCATACGTGTCTGTCTGCATTTTGTAGACTGCCAACGAACAGCTGATCAGTGACCTGGCCAGTGAGCTAGAGCAAACTGCTCGCCTGGAGGCACGTATCTCCGTGCTGCGTAAGCATGATGCCGATAGTCTCAATGTGCCTGTGCCTACCTGATGAACCATCCGAGTTTTGTTTTTCGTTTTTGTGTAAAAAAATATTGTACAAATCAGCAGATTTAGCACCTATCCAAGCCCATTTTTTAAATTTGAAATTTATTATCAGAAGATCTTATTCCACTTTCACATAGTGCCGACTGTTGATGCATGTCAACTTTGTCAAGCACATCATTTAATACACGTGCACGACGGTGCGCTCACAATTTGTAGCGCCTCTTTAGAGTCACAGTTTTCGAGTGACTTGTTAATTTTCTATGGCTTCAATTCCCTCAAACTTATGCGTATGGCTACAGTGTTCGTGTTTGCCACCATAATTTTTATGTTTACGTTTTGATGCTGTTTGCTACGCTAGTGCAATGGATGCTACCACTCCTGCTCCGGTTATTATTATTTTTAGGATATTTTAGTGTCACACTTCTATGACTTTGTACAGTGACGCACGCATGATGTGTCTTGACTAGGCTCTGAGTTTATTGAACTTTATTTTGTACCCCCCCCCCCCCCCATCCCTTGTTTTGTTTCATCCGACGATCTCTAGCTGCTGGTCAGTCACCTGTCTCGTACATTGTCGTTCTTTTTCTTGCCTGCCCCCCCCCCCCCCCCCTTCCCGGATTCTGGGATGACAGTATTACATGCACTTCACCTCGCGTACGGTCAGTTTTATTTTCTCAACGACGAGTTCTTGCTTGTGCAGCATGGTCACATATTTATGCAAGCACCTCGGCCTCAACCAGCCTTGTTTGTTTATTTATACAAGCATATTTTTAACGCTTAGGCGTTGCATGGCCTACTGTGAAATGTGATAACTTTGCGTTGCTGAAGGAACACGCACTCTAGCCGATGGGGGTCTATACAGCTCCCGGTTAGCATCTGCTTTCGCCTGTCAAATAGGCATACGTATGTTCGTTATTGCCTGTTGTATACAATGTTCCTCTGGCTGGGTACCAATGCGTACTGTGGTCTTGTTGCACCTGTGTTGCACAGTGCAATGATTTGTGTACTTGCCGGTACATGTATTCGGTATTGCGGGCGAACGTTTTAATATGTGTGTGTGTGGGGGGGGGGGGGGGGGGGGGTTCGGAGACGCGTACAGGCATATTGATAAAAATACATGTTGAGGGTCTTGCCCCTCCCCCGCGTTTATGGAATACTACTCCTCGGAGGCTTCTCTTGCATGCCTTGAGTCTTGGTACTGTAGCTCTTGTCTTGATCATAAAAATTATCATTCCTCGCTTTGTAACAGTATTGAAGTTGGCTAATACAGTCGTCCCTCTCTAATCCAGCACTTTACCGGCACCCTCGATAAACCAGCACAATTTTCAGTAGCCAAAATGTCCTCTTCATGCACATTGCAGCAGTAAATCCGATTTGTTAATCCAGCACCCTCCCTAATCCAGCAGATTTTCCGTGGCACAGAATTGGTGCCGGATTATAGAGGGACCACTGTAATAAATGACCAACTCAAAATAACAAAGCCAGGAATGTAGCATGTTTGGTGGGTATGGTCCGAGAGTAAAACCTGAGTCTAAATCATGTAACGAATCCTGTGTCTGAAACTTGTGAAAGTGGTAGATAGTTGCCAAGAGTAAAATAAAGGAGTCTACTTGGTATGTCGAAGTGAACAGTGTTTGGTTGATCTTCTGTGGCCGTGATATGAATGAAGGAGGTTGCAGAGGGAGGAACAGAAAGAAGAAAAAAAGTAATGTTCCCACACCGGGAATCGAACCCGGGCCGCGGCGGTGAGAGCGCCGAATCCTAACCACTAGACCATATGGGAGCTCCGTATATTCCACTGTGCTAACGGCTTTACAACACTTGCTTGCAGCGCTGGTTGACTTCGTTAGCGCATGAGCATGTCATGAGACTACCCGGTACCCGCTGGGCGCTGGCCCAGGGCCAGGGAGCTAGCCCAACACATACCATCAAGAATATACTCTTGATACCATAATCACCATAAAATATTCATGATTGTGTACTCGTAGGGCTAGGGGCCTGGGCTCCCTGCCCCGGTTTCATGCATCTACTCTTTGAGTTTGATCTTATCTTGTCCTGATTGGTGTTACAGACCAAAGCACTCAGGATGCCAGCAAGTACCTCAGGCGCAGAGGTAACTGTATTGACTATTGTACAATCCTTGCAAATTCACTTTGGCACTGCTATGCTGCAGGGGTATGGGAAGGGGGAGGGTGACCGGGTACCCTTGCCCCGTGCTTATGACGGGGGGGGGGGGGGGGGGGAGTTTCGGCACATGTATAGTGGTGCAAGCGTGGTATGATCGAGCAGCGCTAGCGACCGTCAAGTACCCATACCCAGCTCTCGGCGGACAATGCTCGAAAAATTGGCAGATTCTGCTCGAAAAGTCGACAGAGAGAAATTGGTAGAACCTTACACACCTTACGGGAGGCACTTCCCTGTATTCTGCCGCTCCATTTCTTCATCCACATACCAAACATGCATCGGAAACACAGGCCCGGCGGAACCGGTCCGGTTGGTCAGGCCATGGCCGGACCAACGTTTTGGCCACCAACGTGTGTTTACTGCTGAGAGGTCATGCGCATACCCTCCATAATCTGTCCCCGGGGAAAATTGCGGAAAAAAATCGCAAAAAACGCGGGGAAAAACGCGGCATAATATGGCATAATTTGCGGTGAATTTGCGGTAAATATGCGGTAAATATGCGGTGAATAATATTGATGTGCGGCAATTTTCAGTGAGTATGTAGTGAAATCAATCAGTTACAAGTCTCTGGTGTAAGCACTCGTCATATTTGAGTAAAAAGCCGTCACGATGAGACGTTGCTGACCGAACAGTGCACTGTGTGTACGTGTAGTGCAACAAAAAAGTTCAAAAAACGCGGGAAAATCGCGGAAAACGCGGTCTTTAAAAAAATCGCAAAAAACGCGGAAAAAAACGCGGCCGCGGAATCGCAATTTTCCCCGGGGACAGCATAATGTCCATATCATGCACAAACTGTATGAATGGCTAGGGAATGGCCGGACCAATCAAAAGCTACTTCCGCCGGTCCTGAAACACACCAGAAAAAGTACCGATTTTTCTGCCGGCCAGTATCCGCCAAGGGCTACAGATACCAAACCCAACAGGCCAGGATGTATCAGGATGTCATATGACTCTGCGGCTACTCTGCAATTCCTGCGCGAGACAGCTCTGGTCTAGTGGGCATTCAGCACTCTATCGAGGCGAAGAACTTCTCTTTGTACATTGCATAGACCCACCCCCCCCCCCGGAGGATGTACCCAGTGTGCTGACAGTGCTCAACACCGCGGAGGCAGAGCGTACTACAGAACAACGTGTTGCCTGATGATTGCGAAAGCATGAAACGTTTTAAAAGTAGCAGCAAACAAGCCTTGATTGCACTTGTTGCTCTGAACATTGCATAGAAATAAAACTCTGTGTGGCAGAGTGAACTTCGACCGAGAAGAGAATGCCGTGCAGACCAAACTGAAGGACATCCTCAATTTTTCTCGTCAAGAACCGGCAAGCATAGTGCCAAGGCAATAACAGTTCTGAGCTGAAACACAAGAGAGATCGGAAGCTGCGTCACAACTCTGAGTTTCACGTATTTCTACAATCATCAGGCAACTGATGGCTCCAAAACGGGCAGCCTGACCATAAGGGGGAGCAAGGTGGGAAATTCTGAGACATAAATTTCTGACAATCCAAAGGATGTGTGTGTGTTGGGGGGGGGGGGGGGGGGGGGATTTTCAGATCAGTTGGTACAGTCGACCTACCCTTATAACGATAACCTCTATAACGATATTACCCTTATAACGATATTTTTCTGGCAAACCAAATCACTCCATTGACTTGTGTATACAATGCCTTACCTCTATAACAATATTGCTATAACGATATTACCCCTATAACGATATAAAATGGGCTGACCAATCAACATTTTCCATTTTATAACAATATCTAGCAGGGGATATGTAGAGCCCACTATCCAGGTAGGGCAAGCTTCACTTGATAAGTCGCTGGGACATGACGAAATCCAATGGGGGCACCAGTAGGCACCTTGCTGTGTACACAATGGGCATGTACGTCAGTCTTATGCTATAAAGAGTGTAAAAAATGAACAAAATCCATGCATTATGACGTATGTGTATGAAATGAACCAGTTACCCTTATAACAATATTACCCTTATAACAATATTTCTTGGTTTGACGCAAATATTGTTATAAGGGTAGGTCGACTGTAGCAGCAAGAGAGTGACTGGCACAGGGCCACTCTCGCAATGGCAGGGAATCGCGTGTAGTGGCTCAGAAGAATGAAAAACAGTAGCTATATGTATCAGCAAAATCCATAATCTGCAGCAAATGCACCGAATGGCACAGGCATTATCAGCACATCACTCACAGCACGATCCCGCACAGCAGTGAGCAGGGCGCCGTGAGTCCGTGGCCAGATCTCTGATAGGGATGGCAGTTCAGTGCTGAGACCGGGAAGAGCGAGCAGCAAAGCCAAGCACACAGGAGTGCACGTGAAAGAGACAATAGTCAATATCACTGCCAGCATACAGGCCCATGAGCCACGTGCTGATACATGTCACTGCCAACGTACATGCCTATGAGTCATGTGATGATGTCACTGTCAGCACACATGCCTATGAGTAACGCGATGATGTCGTCAGAGAATCGAGTCACCCACACCGCGCGTACCACTTACCGAATCAAACCTGGCAACACGATTCACAATCAACACCACTCCGGGCGTCTTGTCGGAAAGGACAAGTAGCGTGTGATGCCAAGATTCATTACGTGTAGAACCTTTCGACATTGTCACAACCGGAGGTGATCAATTGGCGGGCAGCTTGGCCATGCTGGGCGCTGAAGACAATGCTGCCATCTCCGTCTTACTTCCTCACTCCTTCCTCTTCAATGTCTTCTACGCACCATCATTCCGGCAGTGAGTACGCGCTGGTCCGACTGTGCATGTGTCTGGTTTGCTGCCAGCATGCGTCTGGTTTGTGCCAGCATGCGTCTGGTTTGCTGCCAGTACATGTACATGTACTGCACTGGATGAGTGAAGGATACTCACAGATGAAGCAGTCGATCCTGTAGTGCAGGCAGGCAAAGCAGATCGGGCACAACTTCAACTAAGACCCAGTCAGCGCCACAGCTGCAACCTCCTGACCGGCTACTGTAAAACGTACCATTGTAACGCATATAGGCGCATGTGCCTGTATTCGGATATACGCGCACTCTCACTTATAAGCGTATGCTCTTATAGGCGAAGCACTACCAAAATTCTCACTTTGACGACACAATCACGGATAAAAGTCTACAAACAGCATACAGGAACCATGAAACTGACACTACAAGTCAAACACAAAGACTCTGGCAAACGAACTCTGATCGCGCATGCGCGTTCAGGTGAAAATATTTCATTTTCGAAAATTGGATTCGTAGCAAAAATTCACTTATAAGCGCATGTGCTTATATGTGCGTTAGTACGGTATGATGTTTGCGACAAGAAATGCCTGCATGATTTTAGAAATAGAGACCGGTTTGCGAAGTTCAAAGTTTGCGATTCGGCGCCTCTCGCAAAATTCGCAAACAATCACATGCTGCAGACATTACCCATTGTGCAGTACAATAGGGCTTGAAAGTGATGACGTCAAAAACGGCCAGGGAGTAGTAAGTTGACATCAGATTTCTATTTTGGATCCACTCAGGTGTGACTTTGCTATTGCCTCAGTATGTGGGTGCATAGCAACCCACTCATGTCGTATGCAGGGGTGACTTTTACTTCGCCACCAGTTGTAACCCCGCCCCCAGTAGCCAAATCAGTCAGTTTCACTGGCTACATCACCTTGCTGTGAGTACGACGGCTTGAAATGTGCTTGGATCCATACAAAAACTGGATCCAAGTGGATCCAATTTTTGAATATTTGAAATTGTTGCTATGCTGTGACGTAGCACTTTCAAGCCCTATGTACATGCTCAATGGGGCTGGAAAATGCCCCCCCCCCCCCCCCCCCCCCCGCAGATCTAATTCCCACATTGATAGCTGCATGCTGCAAGAGGCTTACATGTAGGTGGCGATGGCCTTCATACCAAAAACAAGAAATTTCCGATGGACGCGTCCTCTCAAAAATGCGCGCGGACACAGAATGGAACGTTTACAGCTGAGTGTTGGTGCAAGAAACCTTTTTTTCCGATCAACTTTAAATCAACGCTGCAGAGTAGAACGACCCAGTTGATGGTACATGTACAGTGTACTTGTAAGTCGAAGGTGTTCTCACCTATTGCCGTCTGTCTTCGTGCTGCTAAGGCTGTCGTTCGATCGGCAACTTGAAGCCGCGACGCTCCAGCACGGACTGAAGGCGCTCCAGCAACGGCCCGTCGACTGACTTCACAGCACCCGCGCACAGCTGGTGCTCGGGACACTGTAACTGCTCGTTGCGCTGCGGCTGGCCTGCCACCGTGGCATGATCATCCGCAGGTGCATCTCGCCTGGCTGTGACCCTGTTCTCTGCCATCTTGATCTCCGACAACAGCTCCTCCAGATCACTGAGACCAGAAGCGGCAGCGGGACCGTCTCTCATGACTATCATCATCTGAACACCGCTGGAACAACATACACGGGGATACCACCCACCCACACATACATGTGCACGCATGCACACGCACACCCACGCATGCACACATGTACACACATAGTCACATACACACACACACACACACACACACACACACACACACACACACACACACACACACACACACACATACACACACACACACACACACACACACACACACACACACAAACACACCTATTATCTTGCTCACACTCCACAAACACAACTGCATAGCTTCCATTGTGGTATGAGCTGCAGCAGCCACATAATTGTAAGGTCGTACATCACTGCAGTACACATAGCGCCGAGCATGATTGTCTATGAAAACCTTGAAAATGCACCCTGGCCTGGGCCCACATACAAGGCTGTGTACTGTATGATGGGGACATTGGAACAACGTGATTCTCACCGAGTTACGTACATGTACTTCAGAAAACTTGAAGTTGTGAGGCGCTAGCACAAGCCCTTACAGTGCAATGCCAGTTCACTTCCCAAGTTCCCTGGCTGCTACCAGTTTCTTGGTGTGTATAAGTTATAATAATATAATACAAACAAGGGTACACATCTGGGCACAACTTGATCTCACTGTAGTCACCGTAAAGCAGTTGGTAGATTCTACATGTAAGTAGAATCCTTGCTGCAGCTACAAGGACACATATTGTAGATAGGATTGTTTGCTACCCTCTTGAAATGAAAACCATGGTGCCCTAACTTGGAGACGATGTGTCCGGCTCTTCTGCGTCTGAAAGTGAATCCGGTACTAACCTTACAACACCACGGCACCATGCTAGCTCAGCCGTTTCCCGTGCAGCTGCGGCAAAACCTTCGTCAAAGCCGCGCTGTCGTGCATCATCTTGCGATTGACCGGCTCCTTCTCGGAAGCCAACCTGCAGAATGAGCGGGTATGCGCATACACCCATCCACATACACATATGTGCAGGCACACACACACACACACACACACACACACACACACACACAACACACACACACACACACACACACACACACACATACACACCATGTACCATGTATACGCCCATCGCAAGAGAAGCACGCAAATCTGCAAATGCACTGGATGTGCACCCACAGATTTTCTCTCATAGCAACGATAGCGGACAAGATCTGAATGAGACAGACCAAGACTAGCGCCAGATAACTGCCCAATCCACACAACCTGCGAAGCCATGTGAATCGACCACCCAATGCACACCTGGTCTACACCACACGGAGTACATCGGCATAGAACACACATACACACACACCGGCTATACCATTGTGTTGAGAAACACAACCAGTGTAATGTCTAAAGAGCCACTAAAATCAACCACTCTCTTAGCGTGCTATCACACAGTACACTGTACTACAGACGATCTGGTCATTTTAAATTTGATTCAAGGGTGATGTGTTGTTTTGGTGATCATACAAACAATATCCACCTCATGTGCTAAAAAAGATGGCAGACCTCTTGGTCTACAGTACTCTTGATCTTGGTGCTATGCATTCAATGATTCCTCACCTTCAGGTGATGCCTGGAGAGGTGTGACCAGCTCTGCTCCGACATTACCTCGTCATCGTCAGCTTCTAAAAAATCAGCCATGATCGCGGCAGTAAGTCCCTGCCCGCAGCACGACCATCAAGTACAACCAAGACAGTTGTAGGTGAGTTGTTCACTTTGCAGCTTTATAAAAGGTGCTATGCTGTGGATTATTCAAAATGAATGCTCAAAAATCGAGCTGATCTATGGACATTGGTGATCACTGATCACACGAAATGTTCCTTCAAACAAGAAAAAGGATGACGACGTTGCTGCAATATTTTTTTCGCCGATGTTTTTGAATCTGACAAGAAGGAATTTATGCAGGCCGCAGGAATAGTCATAACCACTGTGCATGTGGTAATGTGAGGCAATGCTTATCACGCCGAGTCGTCCGCCATGGCTCGGGGTGTCAGCGAGGAGGAGTTCGACGCGGCTCGACCGCGGAGAAGGAAACCAACGGAGAGAGTGGACCAAGATCGTTGTACTCCTGTAAAGCCGAGTGCTAGGGAGAGTAGTGGCAGTACTCCTCACGGTGCCCCCAATCGTAATCAGCCTTCTCTGGAGAAGCTGGCAGGAGAATTCTGGCTGACTCGGATTGTTTTCTTGCGACTGCTGGGACTGATATACTGTAAGCGTGCAGCACCGACAATATGCCGTATTCTCAGTGCTCCAAGGACTGTAGTTGCCTGTCGCTGATGATGTAACCTCTTGTTTCGCCCTGTGGCATAGTTTTAAACATTTTTTCAAGGGAATATTGTACTCTGCGTCAGTCCTCATACTGTAAAATGAGCTGTTTGTAGTTACTGCGTATACCTGGGCCAGGGCCACCCACTCACCCACATACATTTCCATGACCCGGAAACTTGAGGAGTGCATGATTCAGCCGTTATCGCCGTGTCCTTAGCCACTATGACCTCGGCCGGAGCTGCTAGCTATTCACTTGCAGATGTAATGGCAAAATTATCAGGAAATACGCGCGCCAATGTACCGGTATACTAGTACTTTGGAAGTAAGTATGACATCACCTTCAGCCTCATGAATATGGCTGATATGCGCCGTCTGTACAAACACCAGCTTCACATTTATGTCAGTGAATATCGGCTATAATTCGTAACAAGGTCACGGTATACATCAGGAAGTCATAACGTCTAGGGAGACGGCACGAGATCAAAGTCACCCGAGAAGATGTGCACTTCGACCCGGATTTGGAAGTTTTACGTAATCCGCGGTCTATACAACTTGCGATCACAAACGCGGCCTTGACCTGCTGACCTCAGGAGTGGCCAGTAGGCACAGTCAAGCGATGCCATAACATTATTATGTGAGCGTGTGTAAATCAACCCTGCCCGAAAAGGTGACTGCAACGGGTAGGCCGGGGTCGAAACCCACACGATCTAGCGTTACAGTCGCCTGTGCTGTCTCCCTAGATGCTACGACTCTCTTATAGTTGCAGAGAGTCCATGGAATGTACAGTACTACAGTATTTTTGATGATGCAACTTGTGTTTCTGTTTGTGCCCGGTTTGGTGACTGTCTGTACATGTCCGTGCGTATGTGTGTGTGCATGCGATCTTATGTGTGGTGTGTGTGCTCTCGTGTATGCACACGTGCGTGTGTGTGTGTGTGTGTGTGTACGTGCTCAGTCGTTGCATTCCTGGTGGCACTGCACCAGAATCGTCAGCTGATCGGCAAGAGGGGACTTCTGCCGGCAGATCTGTACTTGAAGCGTGTACTCGATCATTTCGGGGAGCTCAACTATAACGCCGTAAGGTGCGGCTGCTAAAACCCGTTTGATTGAGTTGCTCTGGCCAGTCTGGGCATGCAAAACAATATCTGACACAACTAGGGTTTGCCTGTAGCTCGTAGCATACATTGTTCAGCTTTGAACGGCTTGTTTACATACAGGCAAGCAATCTTTTAGTGGGCGTTTTGCAAATCAATCTTTTGATCGGTAGAAGTCTTGAAGCTTCTCTTTCAGTTTCGTTGATCTGTAGGAACCACATTTGGGTGGGAAATAGTTCGAAACATCCATTCTGAATCACCCTGCAAACCCGAACCATTTCCGTTTTAAAGGTAACAACGTTCAGCACACGGCCATCCTCAGGTAATTCGAATTGAAACGATGATTCTGTGAGAGGTCCAGAGGAACCGCTCCTCTTGACCTCACACTGAGTTTACCTGTAACGCTGTTGCAGGGTGTTCTGCCAAAAAAACTGCTACATTTTGTAGTTCTCTCATTGTCATGGGTGGCAAAGCACCAAAAACTGTGAATTATCACATCACTACGATGTGAGGGAACAGCAGCAGAAAAAGCACAAATAAACAAATAAACAATTTAAAACTCGGATGTTGAGCCATAAATAAATGTTACAGTTACAGTGATGGAGAGTTACTCTTAACTCATATCCATATGTCCTTTTCCTTTCTACATTTAAACAAATAAACTCTTATTGTAACAATAATCAAGACTACAAATCCTCACATGGTCAAGAGGCAGCAGCAAGCATACGTGTAGGTGACAAGATACAGGTGTCAAGCCATCCTACTGCCATTGTCATCTTCCGCTTTCCTGTAAAACGTACCTTACAAACCTCACTGCAACTGTTATTCGGAATGATTAGTTACCACTTTAATACCAGCCTGCACACTTTAACACAAACACAGGGTGGGGACCTTTTGTATAAATAACTTCAGTCATGCCTGATGGTTTCTATCGTTATTGTATCAAGTATCTGGCTATAATTTTACCAGTTTCTTTGTCACTAACACATGATCTGCTGGAATTGAGAATGTGGTGCAGGGGAGGTGTGAAGTACATTGTACAGGAAAGTGTAGATGGCAGTGGCAGCAAGCTGACATGACATCTGTATCTTGTCACCTATACGTACGCCCGCTGCAGCCTCTCTGGACAGCGTGATAATTTACAGTTTTTGCTTCCCATGAGAACTTTATTACAATGGAGCTGCGGGAAGCGTCGTTCCGAATTTAGTGTCAGAAATATGATTTGTTTATTAGTGGTTTTCTGCTGCTGCTGCTGCTGCTGCTGCTGCTGCTGCTGCTGCTCCCTCATACTTTCATGATGTGAGAAATCGCAGTATTTTTGGCACTTTGCCACCTCCCGTATGCGTAGTGAGAGAACTAGCATTTTTTTGGCGGAACACCCTGTGTATAGACTGCTCCTTTGTAACAAGCGCAGTTTCATTGTTTCAGTTTCCTGAAGATGGCCATGTGCCCAAGCGTTGTTAGTTTTACAATGGACATGGTTTGCTTTGGAATGGGCGCCGTGTAGGGGTGAAACGAGTATCTATTTTGACCAACCGATCGCTCATTCATAATATTCGATCGAGTATCCGATTATTTCGAGTATTTTATCGAAATTCAAAAGCGCTAGATTTGTGAGTTCTCGACCAATTCGGAAGAAATTATCTGTGAACATAGAACAAAAGTCGCCAACGTCTTGTACAGAGTGTAAAGTAACGATTTTCACCAGTACTTTCATTATCTCAAAACAAAATAACGTTAAGTTACTTGCCGTGGTGATCGCATCGTCCAAGTCATAAAATACTGACTCGAAGGCACGAATAATGCGTGCATACCAGTCGATGAGCAGTACAACAGAAGTTTTTGAAAAATAGAATGCCAGTACTAAAAAAAAAAAAAAAACGATCGAGTGCAAAATTTCGAATACTCGCTCGTTTGAGATTTTCGAACGAATACTCGAATATTCGAACTAATCGTTTCACCCCTAGCGCCGTGTCAACCCAAATATCTTTTCTACGAATATTTGTGATGCCGTTTTTCCGTTGAAATGCAATTTTGTGGTGGACTCGGAAGGTGCCCGGTCGACATGAATGCCCGGATGGAAAATCTGAATGTGGAGAGTTCTAATGTATGAACATCCTGCCATGCTCTTGTTGTTATCTGGTGTTTGTTGTCCCTTTCCTGTTTGTGTATCTGCCTGCCTGCCTGCCTGCCTGACTGCTTGACTGCCTGTCCATCCGTCATTCTGTCCCTCCGTTCTGTGTGTCCTGTCCCTGTGTGTATGTGTGTGTGTGTGTGTGTGTGTGTATGTGTGTGTGTGTGTGTGTGTGTGTGTGTGCGTGTGTGTGTCTTGAATGATCGTAGTGCTGCTCCCACCGTCCTGTGGTTCTTCAACTGGCAACATGACATCGACTACCTGCTGGACCAGCTTGCTCTGTGCGGCCTGCTCGTATCGGCACTGGTCATGCTGCGCGGTGCTGCCAACATGCCTATGATGGCTTTGCTGTGGGTGCTCTACCACTCCATCGTCGCCGTTGGCCAGACCTGGTGAGCTTTCGTAGAGATGCATCTACTTTACTAGCCGTGTATTGGAACTGGATTGGTTGTGATGAGGCCATCCACTGGGTCAGCTTTGTGTACAGTCCATTCAAAGGAACTGATGTCTGGCCTTTTTCAAACCCAATTAAGGCGGAATTAGACTAAAAACCTCCTCTATTTCGGCCGGAAATGGTTTCGCACCAGCATACGTTAACATGTACATATAACGAGGAAACGAATCATTCATTAGTGTTAGACAAACTACAGAGAACATGACAACTTTTGGTCCTCTTATCTTTTTTTCTAAGAATTACATACCGGTATAGGTTTGTTGTGGAGACGTTGTTCAAGGATGTGCTAATTGGTGTTACTGTACAGAACAGCGGTGGGGTCAGCCTATCCATGGATAAATCCATGGGTAAATTCTTTATAGCATAGCACATACGGTAAAACCGGAAAGTTTAACGAAAAAGTTTAACGATAGCTTCCAGGCCACCCATCTTTACACAAACATGTCGCAATAACATTTCTTCAAATAACGAAAAAAATTGGTCGTTAAAATGTTAGACTTTGTGACTCGTTAGACTTTCCGGTTTACAGTACCTGGCAGTCAGACGCTTGTTATATCGGGCTAGTGGCAAGCAATGTATGCATGCCACGTCGCTGAACTCCAGCGTGGAGTGTACAGTACTGCGCGGTGAAATCCGATCGAGTCGCTCAAGTACGCGCCGGGCGATGTGCAGCCCTAGTGCAAGGTGCTGACTTGACTCACGCGACCGGATTTCATTGAGCAGCACTGTACAATAGATACATGTAGATAAAACCGCCATTTGGCAAGAAAGCTTCTTTGTTTACCATGCACAACGGTAACGCGCACAGCCTGAGAACCTTTTTTGCTGCTTCCCAGCAGCTGCTTTTTTCTACTTTGAAAAGTTTCTCTAAAAAACTATGCGATACGCATGCAAATCCGTCGACCCGCCGCCTCCTTCCCGGTGTTGCAGTGCTTCACGACAGCCAGGGTGTGGAGAAAGCCACCGTACACACGCATGGCTTGAGCTGTAGCTCGCACGTGAAAAGTGATGGGAAAATTGATGGGGAAAAGTGACGGAAATTTGATGGGAAACTAGATGGGAATTTATTTTATTTTATCATATCACACGACTGATCACACAGCATGGGGCTGTGCTCCCAAAAACAACGGGAAATTTTGATGGGAAACTAGATGAGAAAATTGATGGGACACTAGGCGTACATTTTTATGGGAAATTCTATGGAAAACGTGACGGGAAATTCGACTTACGGACGGTATTTGGGACTGATGAGAAACTCCAGCTTGAACTGCACTGTAACCTCTAGTTACCGGTAAGCTGTTGTAAACAAACCTGTATAATAGATCATGTAGATCCACTAGTAGCCAAAAAAACGTTCGGCATATGCGTACTCAACTGCGGGCTGGGCGCTGACGACGCCAGAACACTCTCTTCCGTCAGGTCAGCATGCTTCCCAGTATTGTCAGTGCCCTCAGTGACTGGGTTAACTGCTTTGCTTGAGTCTGCTGCACTCTCAGAACTCTCTTCCAGCGTGCTAAGTGCTCTGGTGCGTCGGTCACCATGTTCACATGCTTTGTCCTCAACTGGGAAGTCCAATATCCTGTCCAGCGTGCTGCAGAACATCTGCAGCTTGAGGGTCCAGTCATCAGCCTTCATTACTTCATCCTCAACGTCTCCATCACAGACGTCGCACACTAATTCCAAAATCTCTGTGTCCAGAGCGGCCAGCAGTTCCCTCTTGCACTACAACGAATTGCGTGCATGTCGCACAGACGCACAGACATCGTCGGCCAACACATTCATGTATCGAGCTTCGTCAACAATGTGCTGAAACTCGCCCATGCATCTCGTACACGATCCGCGATGGGCCCCCACGCACCTTGCGCTTCATGCGTAAGACAAGCTGATCCGGCGTCTTTACAGACACTTCCGCTGATGGTTGTTTTCTGTCAGAGCTAGTGGTCTCACTCGAATCTCTAGATTCTTCCTGCTCCTCCATGTCCGACCAAAATTCTCAATTTCAAAACATGCATTAAATCGACTCTCAAGCTCCACGACTCGGCTCGAAGGACCATGTAAAATATCAACTACAACTAAAAACTGTGCGATCTTCAGACCCCTGTTGCAGTGCAATTTCCTGGCCTTTTTGTGGAGACAACTCTCGAAGACTGTATTCACTTCTTGGTTTCCACCATACTCCATAGCGTGTTTTATGTCCACAAGCTAGGCTGGAAACTCCATACGGAGTCTGCTGTCGCTTCCTCCATCGGCTTTGCCTATTGCACAGCCTCGTTTATCACTTTGCTCTTCACTCGTGCAAGTCACGCTCATCCAGACCGTCTAGTACAATGCATACAGTCACTGGCGCAGACCAGAGCCTTACTTCGACCGCCTTCTTTGTTCCCGGTGAAGCAAGGTGCGTCTGAAGGGTTTCTTTGCTGCTACTGCCGAGCTGCTGTTGATGACGCTCGCCAGCTGCTGTTGATGTGTTTGGTTGTAACGCAGAGGCAAGGCAATACCACACATCTTATGTCCTTGGATATGGCGCTTACCGGTCTTCTTTCTCGTCCACGGCTTTATTCGCTTCCGTTTTACTTACTTTGATTAGCCTCAGTGTACCACAGTACACTTCTCTACCATTAGCCCACATCCCACATGCACGTGCAGATGCTAGACCGCTATGAAGTACACCAACACACAGGGCACAGGGTTTGGAGTTATACGGGTGCAGGCTGCGAATGAGGCAATGGGGCTGAGCATAGAGCACGACAAAGTGAGTGGCTCAACATAGAGATTCTGTGATGAGCGCTAACAAGAGTTAACTGCATTAATCGCACATTAGCCAAAGAACTGTTCGAAACAGGAAGGAGACCATCGCGGTTAGGCCGTTTTCTCTTTGTCGCCTCCGCATAGAAATCCAACGGCATCAAGAAAACTCAGTAGAAAAAAACTTTTTTCACTGACATGAGCTCGAGTGGGACCCTGTCCACAGCAATCTGTGCCGTGTCCTCCTCCGGGTATATACTGCACAACTCCCTGGTGAAAGCGTGTAGGTACAGTGCGTATCGGTTATAGCGTGGTTGTGTAAAAGAATATACTGCCTACAAGAATGAACTCTCATGTTTTCATAATCATAACATGGATTTCAAGTGCACATTTATTCTTACAAGCAATTTTATCCCATAGTAGAATATATCGGTCCTAAGAATGGACTTTGTGTAGCGAAACATGCCAGATTAGTACAAAAGGTATCGCCTGTAGTATTAACGTCTGTCCAATTCCGTTCTGATCTGACTCTCGTTGCGTCGTAGTGCTGCAGATTCAACTGTTGTGGTCATGTAACTCATTTTGCATAGCCACATGGTAAGCCTATGGGACTATGACCAGCCACATGCACAGAAGTACTGCGTTGCATGTACGATGATCTTCCTGCCCCTGCGCACATGCATGTGATATGCCACACTTGATTTATCGTGTGTAAGAAATATCGGAAATAAGAATAGAAAGTCGTTTTTCAAACACCCACGCTATAACCGATACCTACTGTATAATCATCTGAACTGTGTACGTGCACATGTCATTCAGTTGACATACAGTAAAACTCCTCTAACCCGGACTCCCCAGATCCGGACACTCCCGTCTACCTTACTGACCTCTCTCGAATCACAAAAAGTGGCTTTTCAACAAAACGGCTCCCAAAATAGTGATTGTCGTGAAAAAAGGTGTTTACTTGCATGCAACCAGCAGTACATGTACTAGTATGTATGTTATGTTCTAAGATACAGGAAATATCTGGTTACGGACAGGTCGCGGCCCCAACGTGCCGGCTAAGGGGAGTTCTACTTTACGCTCACCGCAACCAGAATTGTGCGTGCGGGTGTGTGTGTGTGTGCGTGTTTGTGTGCGTGCGTGTGCGCGCGTGTTTGTGTGCGTGCGTGTGCGCGTGTGTGTGTGTGTGTGTGTGTGTGTGTGTGTGTGTGTCATGTATTTCTGCTTGCTGATGCTGGGAACTGTTCATTTCCTGCCGCCATCTACAAGGTACTCATTTGGTAGGTTTTCAGTGGATTACGTTACTCACGCATGCTGCATGATGTCTAGGTTTGGAGGCAATGCATGCCATGTTCAACTATCATGATTGGCATGGGTCGGTCATGAGTGAAGATTTGTGTGTGTATGTGTGTGTATGTGTGCTAGTGTGTGCGTGTGCATGTTTAGTCCTGTTGCTAGTTGTCTGTTCGCTATTCCAGCATCTATCTATCCACTTAGCAACAAACTGGTTTTCTTTGCCTTGTGCAGGGTGGGAGTCGCAGCTGCTTGAAACTGGATTTCTTGCCATCTTCCTCGTGCCAGTCTGGTCCTGGCGGAGATTTCCGGACAGTTGTCCAACGCCATGGGTTGCAAGGTGGGGCTACCGTTGGCTGCTGTTCCGCATCATGCTGGGAGCGGTGAGCTGGATTCTGACAGTTTTCTGCAGAATATAATAACATGCTACGAGTGTGTCGTGTATTGTGTTTTACTGTCGTCCTCCTCTGTACGTAGCATCAACAAAGGATGAGACTCGAGCCTTTCACATCCCAATTTAGGCTGAATTTAGGCTCGAGAACTCTTGAGAACCGTTCTAAATGTTAAATTTCTGCTGTCTATGTTGTTGATCAATGCGGGTGACTGAAAATCCCGAATGAATTTCTGCTGTTCATTGAAATCTGAAAATTTTAGAGTTACACTATATTGTTGTCCCAAAAATCAGTTGTTCAGCAGCACTTCCACTTCTCTTCCAAGCAGACTGAACTGGCAGCAAGGAACAGCCATCTACAATACTAGCACTTCTGCAAGTGCAGTCTGTAATTGCAGCTCTGCCGTAGTTTGTGCAGCAGCAAGAGCACCAGCAGCACTAGCAGCAGCAACAGCAGCAGCAGCACTATAAGTTAGTATCTGTGTTTGTTTGTCACTGTGTGTAGGGTTTGATCAAGGTACGCGGTGACCAGTGCTGGCATGATCTGACCTGCATGAACTATCACTATGAGGTGAGTGAACGTTGTGACAAGGAAGCTTTTGTATGCTTGTGTGCGGGTGTGTGTGTGTGTGTGTGCACGCGCATGTGTATGTGTATGTGCATGTGTGTGTGAGAGAGAGAGAGAGCATGTGTGTGCGTGTGTATGTGTGTGATATTTGCCGCATTATCACTGTTGTGTATATGGCTATTGGCTGTGCGCAGACTCAACCTGTGCCCAATCCACTCAGCTACTACTACCACCAGTCACCGCAAGTGGTGCATCAATTTGAGACAGCCTCCAATCACGTAGTCGAGCTGATCTGCCCCTTCCTGTTGCTGTTGCCGTTTCGACGCCTCTGTGCACTTGGTGGTCTTGTCCAGCTTTTGTTTCAGGTATGTGATGTTGTCGACTGTGTGTTACCTTGTTGGAATTTAACATCGGAACAAAGAACATATTGTACCCGCCGGGCTGGGCACATTCTTATTGTGAAATTCAATTTCTGATATCTGTTTTTCGGGCGTTCTTGGATCAGCATGTGTGCGTGTGTGTGTGTGTGTGTGTGTGTGTGTGTGTGTGTGTGTGTGTGTGTGTGTGTGCGTGCACTTGTCCGCGTGCGTGTGAGGTGCTCCGTTCAACTCATGAAGTTGTGTGCCGGCACTTTCTTCTTTTTCGGCAAGGCCGGTCTCATTTGCTTTCCAGCAAGCCTGTTCTGGAGATCCTGATTCCAGTGCTGTACTTGTGTCCATACAGATTGTTCTTATCAGCAGCGGCAACCTCAGCTTTCTCAACTGGCTGACGCTGATTCCGTCCGTCTTCTGCTTCGACGACGCCACACTCTCTTTCCTGTTTCCCGCTAGCACGCTGAGAGAACGCCAGCGTACTCTTGCCAAGAACAGGAAAGGAGTCGGTACGTTTCGGTGGACAGAATGAGAAAGACCTCACGGTTTGCGTGAGACTCGGCTACAGGCCGACTTTTCCGCATCCATAGGAACGCCACCGCCCTTCAAGAATAGGTGGACAGTCTACTGGTTAAATGACCTCTGCAGTAGGAATAGGAATAGGAGAGTTCTGTGGTATGGAAACTGCATTTCAAGTTTCAACTGATCATTACTCACTCCAGACAGCCAGCTGTTTCGACCGTGTTTGATGTGATTAGCGGAGCTCAGAGTCACTGGCTGAACCTATCTTAATGAAGTCTAGCGAACAACAAAGCTTTTTTAAATCGGCTCAAAGCATCAAAACCAGTGTGCTCTAACTGCTTTTGTCGTCTTCTGTCTTCTCCATCTCACAGGTTACTACAGCCGTCAAGTGGTGTCACTGGCTGTGGCTGGGCTCATCGCCTACCTCAGTGTGCCGGTCGTGCAGAATCTACTGTCTGCGCGACAGGCCATGAACACGTCGTTCGAGCCGCTGAGAATCGTCAACACCTACGGAGCGTTCGGAAGGTACTCGCCCGTGCCCTGCGTGTGTCCCATTACCGTTGATTGTCACATGTGTTGCAGCCGTGCCTGGAAACACAGACAACACCTACTGTGTTTTCCAGAGTATAGTGCGCGTTTTAGATGCGCTACGTCGAGTTCTAAATTGTGAAGGGTGCGCATTATACTCTGCCGCTGGTGAAG